AAAGGATAAGGACTACAGGACAATACAAACTATCCACAGGAAGTATGCTGGGACAAATAGCTCATAGTGCTTCACTGAAATGTAACCCAGAAAGTGTGTTAGAAAGCATTCAGAAGAATAAAAAAAAAAAATATATTTTTTTTTATTATTTTGTAGCAAATTGTAACTGCACCATGGTCATTAAGAATTTGTATCAAAGACTTATTTTTTTCTGTTACATTATAGAATAGTCCAGTAACAGTTCTTAAATAGCTTGTAGCGGAGTAGAGGTATAACCCACGATATCTCAGCTGGTAGACGTAGTCAGCATACAAAATCCAAGTAGCGTAGTGATTCCAATCCCTTTTTCCCAATAACTGGAGGACACACAGTTTGGGACTCAACTGAACTTTTATTGCACCACAGCTGGTTTTATACACATCCCCATGCAAGGGGTTTCCATAATTACATTCCAGGGGTTTTCCCCTGGTGGGCTGTGTGGGAAGCTTTGTGCACAATAATATTTCCCATTATCCTTTTCTGTACTGAAGAGATAATTGCGTAAAAGTACACCTTTAATTACATTATCTCTCCGTACAGAAGATCACACAATATTGATCAAAAATACATAACTTGCAAAATATGTGTCTAAACTCCACAATCTGTTGAATTACTGCTCAGATCCGTTTGTTAGAATAGAAAAGCCATTCGAATGAAGTTATGGACCGGTCAGCCACGAGACGTGAGCCCCAAAATAGTTTCAGGCAATTGCAGGCTTTGACTGGTCTCCTTTCGGGTGTTCCTACGAATTAACCATTGAAAACACACATTAATATACTGGCTAGTTGGGTATGGAAAGTTTGTGGGTTTCAATTAGCCGAACGCTGTTCTGTTTAGACAAACAGGTCTGTCTGCACGAATGGCATGGAAGTCCAGTGGTGTTTGCGAGGTTGAGTAGCTGATTTTAGTTCCAGGCACTCAATGACCAAACACCGCTGGGCATTCGTGAGCAAAGATGGCCGCTGCCACGTGTTCGTTCATACGAATGGCGACCACACATTAAACCATTAGAGTTTTGCGGTTTACACTGTGTTGCCATTTGTTAATTGGAGACACACTACTCCCTTGTGTGGTCTTCCATTCATCAGTTTATTCATTTTCATGAACAGTACATCCCTATTGTATTCGTGAAGTTGACATACGAATGCCCCTAGTCTGTACAGATTGAAATACGCGAATGAACATAGTTCTTGAAAACTGAAGTGGCTAGTTTTGCCATATAGCTGAACTTAATTTAATTCGACATGGCTGGAGCCCTGTGATGAGATTTAAACTCTCATCTCCTTTTGTTGAAAGTAGGGTCATTGAGGTCATAAATATTGGTGTAATTAAGTTGAATCACTAACAGCAGAGGTTTTTCTGGTATTGTATAGAAAATACACAGTAGTATTGTTATTGCCATTCAAAAGGACTAAAAGAACACACATTGTTTTGTCTCTCATTTGTTAATATCATAAAGCAATCTGCAGAGCAACTTAATTTTACGTTCCTGGATTTCATCTTCTAAGTGATTTTATTTTTGTTCACCATGTAAAGATCTCAGCAGTACTCGATTTGCTTCAAGCCCCTTGGACAGCATAAGAGTTGTTCTAAGTGACATTTGGATCTTTTAAAGCATTTTCTCCGAAACATTTTATGACTTTTCTAGTATATGTTTCATCCTGATATCTCCTGATATCTCATTCAGGACCAATGCTACTGAAGCAGGTCAGAATATTCCTGTATGCCAGGGGGGGGGTCGAGGGTATTGCGGGTGGCTAGGGTGCCCTTCCACTCCCTTTTATCCTTGCTTGAAGGCTCACAGGAGGGGTTTCAATAGCCATTGAATGCATGTGGCAGCCATCTTGAATCTCGCTAGATTCTTGGTGGCTATTTTTGGCCCAGATCAGGATTCACTGTGATATGGCCTTAAATGAGCCGCAATTCATCCTCTAGCATTATGGATTTCTTCAATGCATGCCAGATATTTACTATATTGGATTCGCATTTCCGCTATACCTACAGAAAACATATGGAATTATGACCTCATTTTATATTTGGCTTTTGATTCTGGAAGTACCCGTGACATATCCATACAGCCCTGTTGCAGACAGCCTGGTGTGACCCCCAAATATACTTGACCACACCATTGGTAGCTAGTCTAGTACTTGTAGGGGGAAGAGCCCAAACAAGGTATCTGCATGGACACTGGTCTTAAGGAATTGTGAATTCTGCATCAGTATTTGTCTATGATACACACAGATGTGCTCCTCTGCTGTGAACGTGGTGTGAGCCTCCAGTATTATCACCTCACCGCTCTGCTGGCAACAGGTGTAACAGTGAGCCCTTTACTGTTACCTTCTCTGTCTGGATGAGAGTCATAGGAGTGAGCCCCTGACATTGAGACCTCATTGTCTCTGTATGTTTGTAAGCTACTTGTTATTGACTACTCATACCGGTTCTTTACTAAGGGTGAGCCCCTCTATCACTGATGTTTACCTGACCTCCTGTGGAAGATACAAGCTATTGGAGTTTTTGGAGATAAATCATTTGAAAAGTTTATCCTAAAATATGAAATCATTTGAAAATCATATTCATAAATATTACATTGAGGCCAATGTCAGAGTTTGGTCACAGAGAGAGGCTGAAATCAAAATACAGTCAAGTTTATAGTTTGTAGAAAAAAAAACCATACATTTAGAGCATTCAGCTATTTTTTTTATAAAACAGTTATTTGTGCCACATTTTCTACATTTACATCGTAATTGATACATTTGAGAAAACATCTTCTAGAAGTCCCTTGAAGATAACTAGTTTGTGATTATCTTTTGGGGCTGCTTCATGTAAACATGGAAGTCTCTCGGGATTTCCTTTATCCTGAGATAGAAATATAATCTGCAGGCAATTTCCAACCAGGACACACATTTCAACCAGTCGCCGCAAATTCACTATGAAAAATTTCAAAATAAGAAAGAAAACACGTTGTGACCAGCAATAGTCAAAATTCCAGATTTAGGAGAATGTTTTGACAGAAACAGAATATCGAGAAAGACTTAAAGACATGGTAACATTCTTCACATTTTATCTTGATCTAATACTTTCAGAACACAAATTTAAATGAAAAGATTTTATAAAGATTTTATCAAATATAGTGATATATTAACATATAATAATTATGTTGATGTTTTTCACCTTTACTGAAATATACATAACTGTACTAAATTGATTATTAATTAAGTTAGAATCTATCAGGAATTCAAAGTAAGTTACAAAATTTTAGATCACAATAGCTAAATCTTGTTCTTAGTTTGGCTGTTTTGGGCTAAACATTTTAATTTAATTTCTGTCATTTCAACCTTTAGTAAATGAACACTGTCAGAACATTTCAATAAAATGACTCCTTCGTAATTCAAGAATGAATCAGAATCACATTATTATTAGTGTAAATATTAATATTGTTATAATATTAATATTTTATATGAAAACATTCACATAATAGAGTTCTGTTCTTATTTACTAAGCAGTGAGTTGAGATACTGTCTGCTGTACCTTTCCCATTGCAGCTGAGTCCGCTCTCACACTGAAACAAGCTTTATTACGGTGTTCTGCTGATGTTTTAAAATAATTTTGCGATAAAAGAGTGAGTTACTAAACTAAGAAGGCTTTTCATGGCTTATGCCACATATAATGCCATATATAATTTGAATACCTGTTTGTGGGTGAGATGTACAGGGGTATTTACTAAACTGAAAATTCAAGGTGAATTAAAAGTGAATTTAAAATTTAAGGCCAGAGTAGAATGAATGGAAAATATTCACTGACTGAGGAAATTTTTCCAGTTCTGATATTTTGAAATTACAATTGAAATTCACTTTGAAATCTCCTTAAATTCTATTTCTAGTGAACAACCCTGTAACCACTGTAATACTGATAAAATAAATCCTCACACAAATTGCTAGTTAGTGTGAACAACTGGCTATTATTTTTGGTCTTGATTTGCTGTTTTTGGATATGCTTTTTTCAAATTATCAAAATCTATTAGTAAAACGTTTCAAATAACTTATCGACAGAAATATCCCCACAGACTTTATTTATGTCTTCCGTAGATAGATATATAATTTGAAAAGTGTTTTCTTTTTTCTTTTTTTAATTTGAAAAGCTCAAAAATATTAAACCAAGGCCATTGTTTGAGAAAGGAACAATCTGATTAAATACAGCAATATGGGTCAGATCAATTAAATGAAATTCCTGAAATAATGTTTGATTATGAAATTATATTTATTCAGCTATTTCTTATAGCAAACACTTCATTTTAAAGCATGCATTTGTGCAATATAATAATAATTATAACAAAGTATTTAACCAGGAAAGGTACATTGAGATTTGGTTTGGTTTTCAAGTACGTCCTGGGGATGTTACCTTAGTCCAACATCCAGGGGTTGTTACTATTACCCAATTAAATGGTACAATAATGTTCTGTATGATTGGTTCTATAACTCTTTCAATAAGGAATTTGCAAAAAAAATAACAACAAAATAAAAGGAGACATCAGAATCATATTTTTATTCCATAAATTAATGTGAATTTTCATGTTTTCATATTTTTCACATGATTTTGCATACAAAGCACATCAATTAAAGCATTACTCCAATCACCTAGATGTTGGGGTACACAGATGATTTAATGACACCTACACACCATACTGGAATGTTACACATGTATATATATATATATATACACAGACAATGCAGAGACAAACTAGCATCCACAGGTATATGAACACAAAATAGTGTTTTTTTCTGAAAAAGAAACAAATAGCTTTTTCTTTCAGATTTTGTATTTTCCTTAATTTTTTTTTTTTCAATAGTATAATCTAAAGAACCAAACAGACGTTGTGGAATTCTGGATAGTTGGGTTTGAAAATGTCCAGCACTTTAAAACTGCACTCTTTATACTATTTCTGATGATTTACATTTTAACAGTTACTGCAAATGTCATGATTATTTTATTGGTGGCATCTTCCAGGTATATTCGCTTCCCTATGTACTTCTTCCTCAGTCATTTGTCTTGCAGTGATCTCATCCTCACAACCACTATTGTACCTGAATTGCTCCACGTCATAGGAAGAGAAGGAAGTACCATCCCATTTTATGGGTGCTTCGCCCAGTTTTACTTCTTCTGCTTGTCAGGTATGTCTGAGTGCTTGCTCCTGGCGGTAATGTCCTACGATCGATACTTGGCCATTTGTAACCCATTGCGTTATTCCTCCATTATGGACATGAAGCTTTGTGTTTATCTTGTGATCCCACCGTGGACATTTGGGATACTTTTGGCTTCACCACATATTATATTGTTAAACCAGTTATCATTTTGTGATTCAAACATCATTCATCATTTTTTCTGCGATCTGGTTCCACTTCTTAATCTTTCTTGTTCTGACACATCGATAAATCACATAGTACTCATGGTTATGTCTTTGCCTTTTTTATTTCTTCCATTCATTTTTATTACTATAACTTACATAAACATCACTATTGCCATCTTAAGGATCTCCACCACCACCGGGAGACGAAAAGCCTTCTCCACCTGCAGCTCTCACCTGACTGTTGTATGTCTATATTACGGGACACTGATAATTAATTACCTCGTCCCATCTAACAAAGAATATTTGGGGTTGCAAAATCTAGTTTCTGTGCTTTTTACCATAGTAACTCCTTTGCTGAATCCTATTTCGTATGGACTGAGGAATGAACAGATTAGAGGAGCATTAATAAAGTTTATCTTAAAGAGAACGAGAACAATGAAAAACAAACTGTAGAGACATCAAGATGGAATAGGTGGCCATCTTTATTGTAGTCTAAATTTATGTTACAAAGACTTGTTATAGCACAACTGTAATTGTAATAGTCTGCTTCACTCTGTTATCTCATCCTTGTATTATACTTGCTATTTTATTGTCAAACCTTGTAATTCTCAAATAAAAAAAAATGGTTGAAAAAAAATATGAGGTGGGCTCACATATAAACATGAATGGCTCCACCAAATGTTGATGTGTCTCACTGAAAATACATATTTTACATTTTTCAAAGCTACATGAAACACTTTAAATTAATGAAATATGCCATTATTTTGGCACTGTGCTACAGATCCAGGTTATAGGTGTCCTAATACTTTTTAAACACACCACCACTCCATTTGTGCCCTGTTAAAGGTTAATTCATTTGTATGGGTTTCAGGGAATTCCTTATTTTGTCTCAATTATATTGCCTTTTACCTGGAAGTGACAAGGGGAATTGTTAGCGTAGGACTCACATAAAGGCATTGCATTGCTGTTGGCAGGTGAGATTGCACCTGAATGGCCATTGCAGCGGTGCTAACAATCTCTGTTATTTAAATGTAAAAAGGGATCTAGGTTAGTGTGCAGCTACCTTTTTTGTTTGTCTTGTTTCTGTTTTCTATGTTTAAGCTGAGGAATACTATAGTCATTGCTCCCGCCCAAAAACAATGGGAGTTTGAACGCAGAATTTATTGGGGTTTTATGGGAGCTGACGTAGTTAAAACGCCTATTAGTACACTGATATTGGGAAGCAATGCTCCAAGCATGCATTGTGAAATAGTGAACATTCAGCCACGGCTAAAGATTTCAACTTCATTAGTGATTTTATTGGTTGTATTGATATTATTGCTGTAGGCTGCAACAAATTGGGGAAAAAAATCCTTCTTGATCCCAGAATGGCAGCCAGATCTTTCCTTTGATCAAGAAGCTGTTACCCCACAAATTAAAAATGATATCCCTGAATATTATGTTTTTGCAAGTATTTATCAAGTTGCAGTTTAAACCTCTATACAGACTCTGATAAAACCACTTCTTCAGGCAGAGAATTCCACATCCTTATTGTTCTTACTGTGAAAAACTCTTCCTTAGACTAAATCTCCTTTCTTCCAGTGTAAATATGTGACATCGTGTCCTATGTAAACTCCAGTTTGTGAATAGATTTCTAGACAATGGTTTGTATAAGCCCTGAATATATTTGTATAATGTTATCATATCACCTCTGAGATGCTGTTTTTCTAAACTAAACAGATTTACATTTGTTAAACTTTCATGAACTAAAATGTTCCTTTTCTTTTATCAATTTTGTAGCTCGGCTCTGCACATTTTCAATATACATCTAAAGAACAGGTGCCCAAAATTGCACAGCATATTTAAGATGTGGCCTTGCCATTGATTTATAGAGAGGCAAAATTATATTTTCATCTTAAAAATCATATCCCTTCGCAGCAAAGTAATATCCTGCTAACATTGTATCACTTTACAGAGTTTGTGAAATCTGCAAACATTAAAACATGACTTGCAATGCCTAACTCAAGAACATTTATAAATATGTTAAATAGAAGATTCAGTACATCTGTAAAGGGGACAAGTTGTATGTGTATAAATAGATTGTGAGTTCCTCTAACTTATTTATAACTTGCAATATTATCCCTCTCCTTTAACCCCCTTAAGGATGGTGGGCATTCTATGCCGTCCTTTTTGGGGCGGTCCTACACGCATACGGACGCATAGATTGTCCCCGCCGTTCTTTATACTTACCGGCGGTCGCGATCATGGGGTCTGTCTGGGAGCTCAGGCAGACCCCCCTGTGCCCGATTTGCCACCCCCCCGGCCATGTGATAGCGGGGTCCTTATGCAGTGCCTGCAGGAGGCCAGCTTGAACTATCAGGCAGTCCCCCTCATGCCTGTAAAAAAGATTTTCAAAGTAAAAAAAAAAGTTATGAAACAGTTTTTGAATTAAATAAAAAGTACTTAGATCATATATAAATATATATATATATATATATGATCTACGTACTTTTATATACACATACACATACATACATCATTAATAAAAGTGTATTTTAATATTACTATATATATTAATATAAAAATACACTTAGAATGATGTTAATTATATATATATATATATATATATATAAAATAAATAATCAATAAATAAATTGAAAAAAATGAAAAAAATAAAAATAAATTAAAAAATGATATATTGGTTTTCATTTGTTCTAACTGTATTTTGATATTACTATACATATATCTTAAATTCAAAATACATTTAAAATGATGTTATAAATACATATATGTATCTATATAACTATCTATAGGCTGCCAAAATACCAGAGTATTGCAGTAGGATATCTTTTTTATTACTAGATAAGAGAATGAGAGAACGTGATCTGTCCTAATAGTATCACTGATATAAAAAGAGGACAAATGTAAACTGTAACCGATCGCCTGGCACCCCGACTGGGTACCTCCGTTGAAGAATGCTCCTAGCGCTTCCTGAGGACTCCAAGCACTGCAGCAGACACCACAACCACCGAACCGTAGGAGCATATGAATGCTCTCAAGCATTTGAATATCGTATACAGCCGAATAGGTAAAACCATGCGAATAGGTTTACACTCCTAACAGTCAAACTGGAACAGCATACAATAAATCCTCCCCCAATAATGAAACAACACTTCACTTTGAGGGTTAAGCAGGAACTGACTGGACTGGCACATACAGCCTCTTTTATTCCCAATCCACAAACATAGTACAGCCCACAGGGTTTTACAGAACAACCAATCAATCTGTACAATACACCCAGACACTCCCACACAAAATCCTCCCCTCTGCCTGTGATATGATTACTGAACAGAATGGGTAATCTAATTATCACAGCCAGAGACATACAGTTTCATAAAACACATCACAGGGACCCCAAAACATGCAATAACCTCATAAAAAATCCTTGGAACCGGGGGATCTGGGTGAACCACATATCCAAAATTCACCCAGATCCGTTCAGTACTTTGGAAGATACAGTTTAATGCAGATTCTGCAGAACATATGCAGGCTATATGAAAACTCCTTGGAACCGGGGGATCTGGGTGAACCACATATCCAAAATTCACCCAGATCCGTTCAGTACTTTGGAAGATACAGTTTAATGCAGATTCTGCAGAACATATGCAGGCTATATGAAAAACAATCACTGTATAATGTGTCCCCTGCTGTATAGTCCAAAACCACTGCACGATGTCTCTGTGCACCAAATACTGGCGAGATGGCACCGTGTTGAAAAGTCCACACAGTGTCTGTGAGTTAAAATGGCCGCCATCCATTGTTCTCACCATGTGCCTCTGATACAGGAAATGGTGGCCATCCAGTAACTCCACAGTATGTCCCCAGATGGTTCTTAAAGGGCCAGCAGCAGCACAACACAAATCCATTATGCCCAAATCATGTCTTTAAAGGGCAATACATCCCAGGGGCCATAGTCACATGGCAGGAGGCTGGCAATCAGTCTTCTCCAATGCCCAGTGGCGAGGTCGGTTTCGCCAGATAAACTATAGCATTTAATAAGTATAATTAAAAAAGGTAAAAACCTCTAAACACGGGAGAGAAAAAAGGGGGAATTAGTAAAACATGTGCTATACAGATACTGTATATACTAGAAAATATCTAAATAGTAGAGAAGAGAAATGAAAATCACCAAGGATAAAGTTTAGATATATGTTCCAAATATACTGCTTGATTGCCCTACAAGAGTTAAATAGTAGCGAAAATAGTAGCAATGTGATCAAGTCCCTGGATGGGAAGTGCAACAGAATAGAAACAAGTAGCTGTCTGTAGCAACAATCAGTACAGCTAGATATATCTTGTAGGTGGCAAACGGAAGGGAAAGAGAGGGGGATATAAGCCAAATGTCTAAATAAATCTCAATCTAGAATATTATTTAATAAATGCCTTTTATAATAAATGCCTTTCTGACCGCAGTTTATCTATAAAGCAAAAGCGAATATATAATAACAGTGCAGAAAGCCCTAAATATGTGCCTTAAAGGGCACCTAATCTGCTGATAAATAAGAAAGATACATAATCCCTAATAACTGCTATTGATAACAAAACACCCTCCCTGCCAACCCCGAAGATCGGTCCTGCAATGTGGAGGAATAAAGCAAAAATAAGTCTAGCTGTGAATATCTATATGCAGAGGTTAAGGTTTAGTAGCAGGGTGAGGCTGAGCCCCGACGCGCATTGTGCCAGAAGCCGCTCTTCAAGGGGGAACCCATGTCCCGGGTTTTTTGGTTTAAATATCGCACCCATTGTTCTGATAGGTTCACCGCAGCCAAGGTGATGACATCATATTCAACCATGTTATAACGGGAATCGGAGTAATTAAATAAATAACTGTTTCTAAGACATCCTTTGGTCTAAAGTAATGATAATATATCATATGATAATATCCTGTGTGTAATTGCCAGTCTGAGTTATATTGAATGTATTAGTTGGATGTATACTTAAAAATGTATAGATCCTACAGGCTAAAAACCTTCACCTTCGGTGGACTTTCTTAAGAATGTTAAGGAGACAGTAAAATATCTTATCTCCACTTGTGGATCTAATACTATTGACATTTAACCGTTTTGGGCGATGCTCGGCAAAAAGGGGCTTACTTCTCATCTTGCTGACCAAAGCGTGACACCCCATCCTCGATGTGCCCTGTCAGAACAGGAGGCCTTCCTGACATGCTGTGGAGAGCGCAGGACCTCAAATCTGCAGACGCACTGCTTGGAAAACACCGACCTGGACTCTATTGGGGCTCGGGCTCCATGGCGGGGCCTCCCAGGTCTCTCCTTCCAAGTGTATAGGTTAGGTGGCACTCAAGACTTACCTGCAGCAGGGCTGACATAGAGATGTTCTCTTGATATGCCTGATGGCTATGCCTAAATCTAATACATCTGTAGCGGAGAGGTAGTATAATCCACGATATCTCCGCTGGGTAACAGGAACAACAAAGGATAATCCAGGGGAATCAGCATACAATAATCCAAACAGCACTGCAGTAACCCTTCCTTCCCAAGAACTAGACGACACATAGGCTGGGAGTCAACTGAGGTCCTTTAATTCAGCTCCACAATTTATACAAGTCCCCATGCAAGGGGTTTCCTGAGTCCCCTCCCAGGGGCATTCCCAGAGGGGACTACATGGGGGACTTACAATACAGGGCACTTCTCCCATCAGGCACTGCTGCACAAGAGGGATCCTCCCACTGGAATATACCGTTAAGTGGATTATCCCTCCGCGCAGCAGAACTCACAATTCGCATTAAATTCTATAACTTCATGAATATTATTTAATATATTAAATTCTATAACTTCATGAATATCTGGTTCATTTAAACGAATGGACGTTCGGTAGATAGCTGGGGTCTGGGCGCATCATTCGTGAGATTACCGCTCAGATCCCAGCTAAAACAACCGAACGCCGCACGAAAAACACATTCACTAAAACATAGCCTTAAAATACTGACTTCATATAAGGGAACAGAATACCGAATGTCCCGGACCTCCCGAACGGCCTGGAGGCTCAGCGGTGTTCGTGCCATTGAGTAGCCGTTTTTAGTACCACGCGCTCGACGACCAAACACCGCTGAGGGAACAAAGGATCCAAGATGGCCGACCGCCGCATGGTCGGTAGTCGAACAATGGCCACCTTGGAGAGCCTCTAATTACCGATTGCAACATTGTTGCCTCTAAGTGTGTGGGCTATTAGCTAATGTTTTGTTCGGTTTCCGAACGGCCCGCAAAGGTGCCGTTCGTGAAACGAAAGGGAATCAGCTATCTGCGTTCGGCAGATAGCCCAGGCAGGCAATACAGCATTAACATTACATTACATTACACGCTGGAACACATAACATGAAACCCATGCCGGCAACCCTTAAAGAGACAGTACAGAAATAATGTCCAAGTGGCTAGGTTTACCACAACATCCTCCTATGGAGCCCTATCTGCTCTATTACCTATCTTATTCATTGGTATTTGTTTCTTGAACTTGCCCACAGTTCTATAGTTCTAAAGCTTCCAAACTCACTCTGTTTTACCAATATTAGAGCTGTGCCTTGTCAGTCCTCTCTCCTTTTATTATAAATAATTGCAGCACCATTGACATTTCTTATCCTGCTAGCTTTTTAACATTACTATGTGTACTCCTGTGAAATGTTTGAACCACCAAGTCTGTTAAACTATGCACTGTCAATAAAAAAATATAAAAAATAAAAAAAAGGAATTTCTCAAATATAAACCTAAAAAGACAGAAGAAAAACTGGAACAAGATCTGCGATTATAGCTCTGATAACAACAACGTTAATGGCAGAAACATTGGCTCCTGTTTTAAAAGGTATTTTACTAGACCAACATTTATTAATAGAGGAGTAAAAACTAAAGATAATATAAGAATGTGGACTATGTACCTTTTTTTTACATTTGTCTTTTATTTATCTTTGCCTTATATGAGATGTCATCTGTAGGAATATGGATTATATTCGTTACATGTTTCTTTATTTCTTTCTGCCTTATATACTACAAAATATATTACATGCATTGAACAGTAAAGACATTTACAGACATTTGTATACACACGTGGAATAAATGAATACCATTTCCGCTATTAGTGGAACGCATCTAAGAAGACAGAGAATGATGAAGATCAAGGAAACAGGAAATTACATGACTCAAATAAGACTGGAGGATGTACTTTCTTATCTGTATGTACTACACAGAGCATTTTGTAATTTTTATACTCTGACAGAGCGATCACATCTGGTATAGTAGGCTAAGGATCTGCCTGCAGGGGGACTGCCTGGGTTGTCAGGCAGTCAACCAAACTGCAGCAAAAAAAATTAAAATTATATATCAATATAATATTAAATAATATACAACATATATATATATATATATATATGTTATTTATTATATATATAATTACATATATTAATATAAAAAATACACTTAGGGGGCGGGGCCTGAAAGTCAAGATGGTCAGACATGTTTTCTGAGTGCTCCATCTCGCATGAGCTTAAATTTGCCTTTTGCTGACTTAAATTGTGCTAACTACAATCTTAAATGATGGTGGCTTACTGCTAAGACGACCAGGAGCAAAAAGATACACGTACCATTTATTTCTGACAAAATCGCAATGATCTGGCTGTGAAGCCTAGCATGGAAGGCGGACTGGGCCGTGGGAGGCAGCCAATCCCCTGACATGTGGCCCGCTCTGAAGTCTACTCTCCTGAATGCCTTCAACTCCTCCCTTTGGACTGGCGGGGGATATCCCGGTCGCTGCTGGAGAAAATACTCACCTGCAGCAGAGGATTCTTATGCCAAGCCACAGACAGCAAGATGAGCCCAATATAGCTGACATGATGCAACCTCCACAGCCTCCAGAGGGCCTTGAGGTCCTGCAATGGAGAAAGCACCTTAAAGCCAAATCCGGCCAGATCTGACAAAAGTTTTGGAGGTGCATACAAATCAGACCTCCCTACCTTGATCTGGATGCAAAACTGGAGGGTAAGGAAGAAACAGCGACTCCCCGTTCCAGCATTGAGCAGAAGGCTCACCTAGAGGTGCATCAGTCTTGATGCACTAATGACTGGAAGGCTTCCGCGTCTGAATTGCCTTGGAGTCCATGTTCATACATGGTGGAGAAGGAAGACTCTTTGACATGTGCTATGGACTGCCTGGCACCCCAACTGGGTACCTCTGTCCAGATGCTCCTATTGCTCACCGAGTATTCCAAGCACTCCACCAGACACCTTCAGCACTGCAGTCCCAACGTCCAGTGTTACAGCTTGGATGGGAACTCGCCGTCCACCCACCCTGAACCCAAGACCAGGATCCAGCGTAGCAGAAACAGCTCTTAAAAGAGCTAGTGATTATAATCCCAGGGGAATATAGCAATCCTCAGGGTAGATACAGCCTTTCCCCCCACACATGAGATGAGACTCTATGTTGAGGGTAAAACAAGAACTACATTTTAATGGAGGCACACTGGCCTTTTATGCAAGTTTCCCAACAAGGGTGACACCCAGGTGGACCTTGTTGGGCACAGGACACAAAGGGAATAAACCAATAAGAACAGTAATTAACTGTGCGACATGCCCATAACACACATACAATCCCTCCCCTCTGCCTGTGAGATAATTAAGGCAGATAATGCATTAACTTAATTATCTCCAGGCAGAAAAACACACATTTTTAAAAAGTCTAATAAGTACCCCAAAACACAACATATCCCAATAAAAGTCACATCCTGATAGCCCTGATCTAGATGAACAACATATCTAAAAATCACCCAGATCAGAGGTTCAGGAAATTCCTGGAAGTCTCTTTTTGAGAGACTGCACGTGTTACGGGCGCTCTACAGATGGTTACTGGATTACCCTGTTTTATTTTACCGTATACTCTGTTTCGGTAGTATTACTGTATAAACACACTACGTGAACAGTCAGGACTATGTATTCGTGTATATGAACAAAGACCACCCGGCCCTTGGCATGTGCCGCCACTTAACCTCTTTCACCTCTGAAACAACCGAACGGCCGACCGCCTTACAAGCAGAGTGTGCTTCCAATTGACCACCGGAAAGCTGCGGTCTGCTGTTAACCACAAGCCTAATTGACTGCGTCAGGGTGGCCTCGTTCGGATAATAATTCACCAAACTGAAACTCCCGAATGAGGACCACCTACACTCAGGTGTCTGGTCCCAATTAGAACACTGGGTCTGTGGTTAACCGCAAGCCTTCAGCTAGCTTGGAGGTAACCGTACAATTGGTGGCAGTGGTGGGATCGTCCTGGAATTCCTAGGAGAGGTACAGAGCAGATGGAGAGCCCTTATGACAAGCTGAAACGCACCACATTAAAGGATCTGCTAGAAATCCGAGGTGGGAACGCCTGCAACCAACCTAGGAGGGAGCTGATCGCAGAACTGACAGAACTGGATCAAAGCCTGACAATGACGGAGGCTCTGATGTCCGTTAGCAAAGTAAAGAACAGGATTGTCGGGGAGAGGCTCTCCTGGTTCAGCCTGAACCCGACTATGGAATTAATACAGCAAACTATGGCACAAGTGGATGTGGAGATCCGAAAAGCCAGAGCACACAAGCTCAGCCTGTGCACACCCCAGCAAAACCCATCTGCAGGGATGGCAACTAATCCAGCAGAGAGGACTGGGAAACCAAAGATTCCCCATGCAGCGTTCCGATCATTCCTAGAGAATGAGATGGGGATCGACGAATATCTGGCCGAAAACCCAGCGAGGACTGGCCCACCATACTATCGGGGAAACTGTTGGGCCGAGGACACTATCTGCCGAGGAGGTGACCCAATATGACCGGGTTAAAGACACCTTGTTACAACGGTATGCAGTAACCCCAGATACTCATCGCAGGCAATTTAGGAACACGAAGAAAAAGCCGAACGATACACATACCGAATGGGCTCATCGGATGAGGAGAGCAACCGATCACTGGATGAAAGGATGCCGAGTCGTAACGGGAGAGGAGGTGTTACAATTATTTCTTTTGGAACATTTTTACAATGGATTAGATCAACAGTGCAAGGAATGGCTTCGTGATCGTAGACCCACTACCCTCACAGAGGCTGCTAGGTCGGCTGATGAACATTGTGATTCACGGTTACACGAAAGCAACAACTACCGACCAACGATTCGTACCGAAAGCCGGGAGAACTACTGAACACCGTCCCGACCTGACTTCAGGGCTCCTATGCCAGCAGGACCTACCAGGCACTCCGGACCACCCAATAACCACACTGCCTAACGTCCACGACCAACATGTTTTCGGTGCGAGCAACCAGGGAATCTCATGGCGAATTGCCCTCTTAACAATCACCACCAAACCCCCCGGTTATACAATAACTCCACAGGATCGTCACCCCACTGAGGGACTGCGGGACAATGGAGCTACAATAACTGGTTCAAAGCCACTTGGTGTTGGAGCACAAGTGTTCAGAACAGACTGTGGCCGTTCGAGTGGCTGGGGGGGATGTATACAAAATCCCGACCGCCAAGGTCCATCTGGATTGGGGGGCGGGAAAAGGGACTGCTAACATGGGAATCATGGATAATTTGCCAGCAGAGGTATTATTGGGCAACGATTTGGGACCTATGACATCTGCTTATGCCCCATCCTATACCCCGATGCTCATCCGGTGACTACCCAAGCACAAGCCAGGAACCAGCCAGACCATTCACCAGTGCGGGAGCCACAGGTAAGACTCACTCCGATCCTGACTGCCCCATTAGATCCCATACCCTGGGATACCCCAGCCACCTTTGAGAATGAGTCCAAATCTGACCTGACCTAATGAAAGTACAGGGAAAAAGACTAATCTGGGGGAGGGGGGCTAGATAACGAGACATTTGTATGGGGGAAAGGGAAACTGTACCGTCTAACAGAGAAGAAGGGACAGCATAAGCGACAATTGGTAGTCCTGAATAAGTACAGAGAAGAGATACTAAGGATAGGGCATGATATTCCCTTAGCTGGCCACTTGGCTGTAACTAGCACCCTACACCGTATTACCCACACCTTCTTCTGGCCTGGGGTACACGCGGACGTTAGGACACATTGCAACACATGCGATGTGTGTCAGCGGGTAGGGAGGAGTGGCAATCCTAAGGCACACCTAATGAATATGCCCATTATAGAGGAGCCATCCAGCCGGGTTGCTATTGATTTAGTGGGGCCCCTGGCTACCCCTATTCCCTCCGGTAAACGTTATATTCTTACCATAGTGGACTACGCTACCAGGTACCCTGAAGCCGTGGCCCTATCTAACATCCAGGCAGACACTGTAACTAATGCGTTGGTTCAGGTATTCTCTCGGGTTGGATTCCCCAAAGAAATCCTATCCAACAGGGGCACTCAGTTTACTGCCGAATTAACGCAGCAGCTATTGCATGTCTGCAAGGTTAAGTCTCTCCTTAGCACCCCCTACCATCCCCAGACTAATGGACTCTGTGAGAGGTTCAACGGGACCATCAAACAGATGCTCAAATCCTTCACTCAGAAACAAAGGGATTGGGAACGCTTCCTACTGCACCTCCTGTTCGCATACCGGGAGATGCCCCAGGAAACGACCGGATTCTCTCCCTTTGAGCTGCTCTACGGACGCAAGGTACGAGGACCCCTGAACTTGATCCGTGAGCACCGGGAGGGGGAAACTGAGAATGCCGTGGTCCCCATCGTGCCATACATGCTGGAACTCTGGGACCGAATGGAGTAATTAGCCAGGTCTGTCCAGGCTAATCTCCAGTCGGCCCAGAGGAGACAGAAAGTATGGTATGAGCAGGGCACCCGAGCAAGGAGCTTTGCCGTAGGGCAGAAGGTGCTGGTACTCAAACCAGTCAAGGCAGACAAACTGCAGGCCACCTGGCAAGGTCCTTACCAGAGTGTAGAAAAGAAGGGGGGCACCACATATACAATAGCCAGTTGCCATGACGAAAACCTGAGAAAAACCTTTCACATTAATATGCTAAATAAGTACCTAGAGAGACCCGAGGACGTGACAGCTATCTGCATTCCCCCTACGAGGACCCAGACAGCCTCCGCATCCCAGACTTTCTGGAAAGGAAATCCCACACAGACCTAGTGGCCGAGGTCCAGATAGGGGACCGACTTAATGACACGGAAAGGGAGAAGTTAAATCAGCTACTCCACGTTAAAAGGGACTACATTCTCCCAAGAACCAGGGTACACTCACCTAACTACCCACCAGGTAGACACTCCAGGGCAGCAACCCCTACGACAGGCCCCCTACCGAATCCCCAAGCAGTTCGGGCAGGGATGAAAACGAAGATTGAGGAGATGCTCTGACTAAGTCCATGGGCATCCCCGGTAGTTCTAGTCCCAAAGAAAGACGGAACTACCCGGTTTTGTGTGGACTATCGGAAACTCAATGACAACACAGTCATGGACACCTACCCTATGCCCAGAGTCGACGAGCTACTTAACCGTATAGCCAGAGGAAACTATCTAACTACCATTGACCTCTGTAAAGGTTATTGGCAAATTCCCCTGGCCAAGGAAGCTATCCCTAAGTCGGCATTCGTCACCCTGTTTGGCTTATACCATTTCAAGGTAATGCCGTTCAGGATGAAGAATGCCTCAGCCACATTCCAGCGCTTGGTGGATAGACTCCTGGATTGCTTCCAGGGTTTTGCCTGCGCATACCTGGACGACATAGCGATCCACAGTGAATCCTGGGAAGAACACTTAGCTCACGTAGGAATGGTCCTGGATCAGATTCGGGCAGCTGGCCTGACTCGAGTGCCAGAGAAGTGCCATTTTGGAATGGCCGAGGTACAGTACCTGGGTCACCGGGTGGGGTGTGGGAAACAGCGGTGTAGCGGAGAGGCAGTATAATCCACAATATCTCCACTGGGTAACAGGAACATAGGATAATCCAGGGGAATCAGCATGCAATAATCCAAGTAGCACTGTAGTAACCTTTCCTTCCCAAGAACTAGACGACACATAGGCTGGGAGTCAACTCTTTATTTCCAGCTCCACAATTTATACAAGTCCCCATGCAAGGGGTTTCCTAAGTCCCCTCCCAGGGGCATTCCCAGAGGGGACTACATGGGGGACTTCACATTCAGGGTATTTCTCCCATCAGGCACTGCTGCACAAGAGGGATCCTCCCACAGGAATGGACCGTTAAGTGGATTATCCCTCCGTGCAGCAGAACCGACAATTTGTATAAAAATCCATAACTGTTTGAATATACGGTCTATTTGCATGAATGGACGTTCATTAGATAGCTGGGGTCTGAGCGCATCATTGTGAGATTACCGCTAAGATCCCAGCTAAAATAACCGAACGCCGCACGAAAAACACATTCATCAAAACATATGTTCAAAAGACCGATTGCATGCCAGGGAACAAGGTACTGAACGGCCCGGAACTCCCGAATGGCCTGGAAGCTCAGCGGTGTTCGTGCCGTCGAGTAGCCATTTTTAGTACCATGCGCTCAACGACCAAACACCGCTGAGGGAACAAAGGATCCAAGATGGCCGACCGCCGCATGGTCGGTAGTCGAACGATGGCCACCTTGGAGAGCCTCTAATTACTGATTGCAACATTGTTGCAATCGGTTAACAAGCGCCACACGTCTCTTAGTGTGTGGGCTATTAAATGATAGTTCATTCGGTTCACGAACGGCCCGCAAAGGTGCCGTTCGTGAAACGAAAAGAAATCAGCTATCTGCTTTCGGCAGATAGCCAATGCAGGCAAAACAGTGTTACACAATCACATTGCATTATACGCTGGAACACACATAACACGAAAATCATACAGGCAACCCTTAAAGCGACAGTACTTAAATAATGTCCAAGTGGCTATGTTTGCCACAAGCGGCCAGAGCCGGCTAAGATATAAGCTGTCGCCAAGGGGTAATTTTTTATTCCTGGGCTTTCATATGGTCTCAAAGGTTCCATATGTCCAGCAAGCCAATATGGCAAATTTAAATGTGTAAAAACTGGAAAGTCTAATATTTGACCCTGTAAGTTTCCAAAAAAACATAAAATCTGCACATGGGGGCTACTATTGTACTTGTAAGATATTGCTGAACACAAATATGTGTTTCTATTGCAGTAAAAGCTAACAGTATTATGACATTCATAGTTAAAATGACACGCAGAACCAAGGAAATGCGTTTCTTAATTTCTCAATATATTTTATTTATATAAAGTTATATTATATATATAAATATTTCATGTGAAATGAAAGCCATGTTTCTCCTGAGCAAAGGGATATGTAATAAGTGTGAGAAAAACAAGTAGCAAGAGAGGTGAGAATGGACAACAGCTGAATTAGCCTGCCCTTCGGTGGGTCCTCGCTCATATCTCAAGCTGGTTTTAGCTCATATTGTGCCATTACAGAGAGAACATATCTGAAGCATATCAGACTGGTCCCACCCATACGGGCAGATCCGAACTGCCAGAAAGTTCCCTCTGCACGAGAGATATGGCAACCCCAGACGATCGTTTCAACCTTGTAAGGTATCATCAGTGAAGTATAGCCAATATCCATCTAGGCACTGTGCGACTTGTCTTTTGCTTTAAAGGGTAATCCAGATGTGAACCCCTTGCTCACGGTGCCTTGAGGGGGGATATTGGCTATGCCTCACTGATGATGCCTAACAAGGTTGAAACAATCGTCTGGGGTTGCTGTATATCTTGTGCATAGAGAGCCGGCCAGTATTTTAGATCTGTTCTGCCCTTTTGGGTGGAATCGGTCTGAGATGTAAATGGCCTGGTTCTCTCTGTAATGGCACAAGATGAGTTAAAACCAGCTTGATAACTGAGCTGGGACACACTGAAGGGCAGGCTAATTGAATTGTTGTCCATTCTCAGCACTCTCTTGCGACTTGTTTTTTTGCTCGTAATAAGTGTGGATGCATTTAATATAGAAACATAGAAACATAGAATGTGACGGCAAATAAGAACCATTCGGCCCATCTAGTCTGCCCAATTTTCTAAATACTTTCATTAGTTCCTGGCCTTATCTTATAGTTAGGATAGCCTTATGCCTATCCCATGCATGCTTAAAGGACCACTCTAGGCACCCAGACCACTTCAGATTAATGAAGTGGTCTGGGTGCCAGGTCCAGCTAGGCTTAACCCATTCTTTTATAAACATAGCAGTTTCAGAGAAACTGCTATGTTTATGAATGGGTTAAGCCTTCCCCCAAAGCCTCTAGCGGCTGTCTGATTTTCACAGTGAGAGCACGCCAGCGTCCATGGGAAAGCATTGATAATGCTTTCCTATGCGACCAGCTGAATGCGCACGCAGCTCTTGCCGCGCATGCGCATTCAGCCGACGGGGAGGAGAGGAGGAGGATCAGAGAAGGAGAGCTCCCCGCCCAGCGCTGGAAAAAGGTAAGTTTTTACCCATTTCCCCCTTCCAGAGCCGGGCGGGAGGGGGACCCTGAGGGTGGGGGCACCCTCAGGGCACTATAGTGCCAGGAAAATGAGTATGTTTTCCTGGCACTATAGTGGTCCTTTAAACTCCTTTACTGTATTAACCTCTACCACTTCAGCTGGAAGGCTATTCCATGCATCCACTACCCTCTCAGTAAAGTAATACTTCCTGATATTATTTTTAAACCTTTGTCCCTCTAATTTAAGACTATGTCCTCTTGTTGTGGTAGTTTTTCTTCTTTTAAATATAGTCTCCTCCTTTACGGTGTTGATTCCCTTTATATATTTAAATGTTTCTATCATATCCCCCCTGTCTCGTCTTTCCTCCAAGCTATACATGTTAAGATCCTTTAAACTTTCCTGGTAAGTTTTATCCTGCAATCCATGAACCAGTTTAGTAGCCCTTCTCTGAACCCTCTCTAAGGTATCAATATCCTTCTGAAGATCCAGGTTCCAGTACTGTGTACAATACTCCAAGTGAGGTCTCACCAGTGTTCTGTACAATGAAAGAGATAAATTATTTTTGAACAGACATATAAGTCAAATTCCAGGTTTTGTTTTGATTTTGTTTTGATTAGAACTTGGACAATCACATCCGTCCTTAACGGGTTGATTTCACATTTCGGTGTGATTTTGGTGTATATTGAGGGATATATACACAAGGGTCTAGAGTTTTATGTATTTCTTATATTTCACACGATATACTTTTATTTTTTTCTTTACTCTGGAAGGAGCCAGGGCACAACTGACACCATAACCACTACATCAGAATATAGTGGTTATGGTACTTGGAGTGTTCCTTTAATATTAGCATGATAACTGTAAGAAGTTTATTATAATAATTATATTTAAAGTATCAGACATTTTTATAATGTTGAATACATTTACAAGTACATTTTTAAAACACACATTTGAATCTTTAGTGTACATATAGTGATAATTATGACTAGATTTTACTAAAGTCCCATGAAGATAATTATCTCATAGTCTCCTGGAAGCATATTTCATATGGCTCGGGGATCTCCTGAGAATCCCTATTTTCTGCTGTAGAAATATAACACGCAGATCTGGACACATCTCGTGGTCACGTTATTCTGCGATGATGCTGATCGACAAACTGAATAACATAGAAAAACAAGTGAAAATATACTTTCTGAATAATTCTACCTTTGAAAACATCTGGCCATTTTCTACAAAATGGTGAAATTTAATTTTGTTGTCTCTTGACCTATTCACTCTGAATGCACCTTTTTAATAGGCAAAGCAAGATATTAAATAGAGAATGTTAAATGCTCACAATTTCACACATAGCGATCTCCAGTCAGTTCTAAGTAAATCAGAGAGCTGGATTTTTCATTGAAAAATTGCGTACAGTGTTGTAAAAATTATCCATTTATATAAAGAATGGATGAGTGTAAGAAGATTCCTTCTTCATGGTTTTTAGATTGTGAGCTCTTTTTGGCATGACCCTCTTCACCTACTGTTCCTGTATGTCAATCATATTTTGTTAGAATGAATTCTTTGTCTTGTTTTACGTTTTGTACGGCACTGTGGAATATTGGCTATATAAATAATTGTAATTACATATGTTTTACACCACTGTATGATATATCTTCTTGGATTCTAAGCTAACACAACTGCTAAATATTTTGGAAAATGTATTCCCTTGATTGCATATCTAGAAACAAATGATGAGCTTGAGATAATTGGTAGCCAGGGTTTATCGTATAATTTGCTGTCACCGCGTTCCTATTAAATACTTTTTTTGAAGAATTGTGGTATTTTTGAATGGTTTTATCATCAAAGTAGGCTCAGGCAGTATTATTGTAAAATGCTTTATTCTACATTAAAATAGAACATTTTGTTTCTGTAAAGCCTTTGTCAAGCCTGAAGCTTGTGTTCATAACATATATTACATACATTGTGTGTATTGATATTCTCTTGTTTTGTATGTGCCTCCTACTGACCAGAAAAATATATATATATAATAGGGTTTGGGTATATGATTATTTTAAATTTCATTGCTTTAACCAAAAGGTGTCCTTATAGCTTTTTTGCAATGATTGTAAAAGGTATAACTTGCAGTTAGAATCTAAAGGTTCTCTACGTGGAGTTTAGGCAATCTTGAGTCACATTAAATTAACATGACATTTTGTGGCATTGCTGCCTATTTTTAATGGAATGTTAGTTTCTCTCTCCCATTGTTTTTCATAGCATTATAAATTTCATGTTTGTTTTGTTTTGTTTTGTTTTTTCTGCCGGTGTGTGAAAATTAATCCTGGGACACAAAAAGATGAGTAAATGGTAATTATTTGACAGCTTGGCGAACATGAATTACTTTACTAATTTGAAACAAAAAAAAAATCATATTGTTTACCACAATCATATAAGGTAAAATTCAACAAAACAAAAAAGAAACAATACAAACAATACAAACAATGGCAGTGAATGACATGTCTGATAAACAAATTACTAACAAATGAGATAAAAAATACTGTAAGTATCCATGTAGGCTGACACTGTAGCTGGGACATTGTTTTTTCTACCTGGTGCGTTGAATTTGTCTTTTATGTTTACTAGTCTTTTACCTTACTGATTACGTTAATGTGAAATTGTATTTTTTTTTTCTTTGAAATTAGGAAAGTTTTAAGAACAAATCAACTGTTGAGGAGTTTTGGATGCTGGGATTTGGGAATATTCACAATTTCAAGATTTTACTCTTTATTCTGTTCCTGGCCATTTATTTTGTGACAATATTTGGCAATATAACAATAATCTTAATGGTACTCATATCCAGATACAACGACACTCCCATGTACTTCTTCCTCAGCCATCTGTCTTTCAATGACATGATCATCATCACAAACATTGTACCCAAAATGCTTTCTATCATATTAAAAAAAGGAAGTACCATATCATTTGCTGGCTGCTTCACCCAAATTTACTTCCTTTCTCAATCAGCCATTACTGAGTCCCTTCTTCTCACTGTAATGTCCTATGATCGATATTTGGCCATCTGTCACCCACTGAGATATTCCTCTATTATGGACCTGAAACATTGTGTTTATCTTGTTATTCCTCCCTGGCTACTGGGTTTGCTCTTTGCACTGCCCCATAATATTATTTTAAGTCAAATGACATTTTGTGAGTCAAATACTATTAACCATTTTTACTGTGATTTGGTTCCCCTTCTTAAACTGTCTTGTTCAAGTACGTTAGCTAATGAAATAGTGATCATTATATTGTCTTTTCCAGTAACTTTGTGTCCATTAATAATTATAACATGGACTTACATTAGTATTTTATTAACAATTCTTCATATCTCTGCCACCACCGGGAAACAGAAAGCCTTCTCCACCTGCAGCTCCCACCTGACCGTCGTATGTCTATATTACGGTACACTAGCATTTAATTATCTGTTTCCCTCTAAAGAAGAATACTTGGGCCTTCAAAAGTTATTTTCTGTGCTTTACACTGTAGTCACCCCGTTATTAAACCCAATTATATACAGTCTGCGGAATAAGCAGATCAGAGGAGAAATAATGAAATTTGTCTTCAGGAGGAAAAATAAATAAAAAAACAGATGTATGTACAGTGTATGATGTTTTTAAGCACAACACATTATAGTACTATGTGTTATATTAAGGAAGAAGATGTACAAACGTAGTTTCAAGTCAAATGATCCCGACAATCTGACCGGTTTGGCAGAATACAGAAAATTCAGCTTGGCCAAACTATTTTATAGTCAGATGTTGGTTGGGTTTGGAGAAATGGAGATCCTCATTTGGAAACTGAATCAGGAGAGTAAAAAGAGTGCAAAAATAGGTCAATCAATGTGCTGCAAATTAAAAACTAAATAAACAAAATGAATAAACATAAAACGTAAAAATAAAAAAAAAACCTCCGAACACTCAATCGGCCCAAATTCAGCCACATTGCAGTTCACCCTAAAATGACAAAGTCTAGAGGTGAAGAGAATAGGAAGGGTCCCTGCACTTTTTATTATATTACACATTGCAAGTGTTTTGAATCTGGACTTTTCAAATATAAAGAGATGTAAGAAAATATGTTTGAAATATACCTGTTAATAAAGAAAGAGAACTCAAAAATTCAAACAGTGGGGAGTACAAGATGCTCAGAGGCAGGAGAGAGGAGAGGGGATCAAGACTGGGCCTTCTAGTATAACCACAGAAAGGAAGATAGGTGCGTTAAACATTAAACATTAAATATACTAGTTAGGATTTCTCAACCATTTGAAATTTAAGGTAAAAAAAGAACTGGAAGCAAATCTCTATATTATAGACCTGTGAGCTTAACTTCTGTGGCTGGTAAAATATTTGAAAGGTTATTAAGGGATAATATTCAAGAATTCCTTGAGAAGAATATGGTTATCAGCCAGCAAAAATCAGCACGGTTTTATGTAGCACAGGTCATGTCAAACTAACTTGATTGCGTTCTACGAAGTAGTAAGTAGAAGTATAGATCAGGGTGTTGCTGTGGATGTGATCTTTTTGGATTTTGCCAAGGCATTTGATACAGTTCCACACAATAGATTAGTGTTCAAACTCAAGGAAATCGGTCTAGATGAAAATGCTTGTTCTTGGGTAGGACATTTGCAAACAGAGTACAAAGAGTTGTCATTAATGGTAAATTTTCAAGCTGGACAGAGATGGCAAGTGGTGTCTCTCAGGGGTCTGTTCTGGGACCCCTTCTATTTAACATGTTTATAAATGATCTTGAAGACAGCATTGAAAGTCATGTTTCAGTGTTTGCAGATGACACAAAACTTTGTAAAATAATACAATGTGAGCAAGATATTACTTTGCTGCAGAGGGATTTAGATAGACTGGGGGACTGGGTACTCAAATGGCAGATGAAATGTAATGTTGAAAAATGCAAAGTTATGCACTTCGGCGTAAAGAATACACAAGCAACGTATACTCTTAATGGAAGTGAATTAGGGATAACAACACATGAAAAGGACTTGGGAATTGTTATAGACAACAAACTATGCAACAATGTACAATGTCAATCAGCAGTGGCCAAGGCCAGTAAGGTGTTGTCATGCATGAAAAAGGGCATTCATTTTTGGGACGAGAATATAATTTTGCCTCTTTATAAATCACTGGTAAGACCCCATATTGAATATGCTGTGCAATTTTGGGTACCTGTTCTAAAGAAGGATATTATGGCACTAGAAAAAGTGCAGAGGCGGGCTACAAAATGAATAAAAGGAATGGAACATATCGGCTATGAAGAAAGGTTAACAAATTTAAACCTATTTAGTTTAGAAAAACGTCGCCTGAGAGGGTATATGATAACATTATACAAATATATTCGGGCCAATACAAACCATTGTGTGGAAATATATTCACAAACCGGACTTTACATAGGATACGAGGCCATGCGTTTAGACTGGAAGAAAGAATATTTTGTCTAAGGCAAAGGAAAGGTTTTTTTACTGTAAGAACAATCAGGATGTGGAATTCTCTGCCTGAAGAAGTGGTTTTATCAGAGTCCATACAGACCAGTTCAAACAGCTACTAGATGCATACTTGCAAAAACAGAATATTCAAGGATATAATCTTTCAATGTAGGGTAATAACTGCTTGATCCAAGGATAAATTAGACTGCCATTCTGGGGTCAAGAAGGAATTTTTTTCCTAGCTTGTTGCAAAATTGTGCTTCAAACTGGGTTTTTCTTGCCTTCTTTTGGATCAACAGCAAAAAACAAATGTGAGGTAGGCTGAACTCGATGGACCCAAGTCTCTTTTCAGCTATGTAACTATGTAACTATGTAAATCTGACATTGACATTTTATTCTATTGTGGCTGTATCTGGTTTTAACATCTGTCTAGTGAATAAACCTTTTTTAGTCATACGCATGTTACACACAAACTACATCAGTGAAAACAATGACAATACAAAACAAGATTAGTTTTTATTTTCTGTTTGTTTCTAAAACACATTTTTTTTTATTATTAAGTTTGGACAGGAGTTAGATAAAGCTGTATTTTGATCACTTCTTGATAGATAAAAATACCCCAAATAAGAACTTTCGGTGCATCTAACATTTTAGACTAATTTTGGCAGACTGCCTTCTAAATATATTTGATTTATATTACTAGTTACTTGGCTTCAGCCATCTTGTTAGCTATAAATTGATTTACTTACTATTTTTCTCTTTAGACATTTTATAGGAACTTTACTTTTGGAACATTTTTATTTCTGCAACAAATCTTAGGAGGAGCAGATCACTTGAGAGGAGAACCACGAGAACTGTGTGAATAGAGATACAATATACACTTCATAAATGTTACTATACACCATTGGAACCATCCACAATGTACACTATATGAATATGAATGTATTGGGGCACACCTCTTAATTATCGAATCTACGTGTTTCAATCAGGCCCATTGCCACAGGTGTATAACGTCAAGCTCCTAGCCATGCTGTCTGCATTTACAAACTTTGTTCAGCTAAGTGAATTCAAGTTGTCAGGATATTTATATTGGCAGACATTTTGCACTAAGATAGAAATTAAAAGTGTATATTGCCAGAGTCACTCAGAACAGAGCGGACTCCATTTTGGATTTCAGGCAAGACAGACACAAAATTTCTTTCCTTTCTGCAACTAGCCACTAGCCTGAGCTAAGGAATGCATTATGTAAACAAGCCAAGTGATAAGCAATGAAGCAGGGGGATGGAATGCTCTGTTTAAATGTTAATGGAATAGAAATAATTTTAAACACAGACACCAGTGACAGAGAAGACTCAGTAATTAATTTTACTTTCTTAATCTTACAAGGTCCCATTGTAAGTAAGGGGTGAAATTGAGTTTAGAACTGTCAATTTTAGAAATTACAACAGGAATTGTCGACGCACTGTCTGGAGAAAATCCAAAGAAACGCTTTGAACTGACAGCAAATTTAAGTTATGGTAGTCATTTTAGATAAGCCAAATGACATCAAAATTGTCATCAGGAAAAGTTAACTCTTTCCTGGATAGGAAAGTTTAATGAGGTAATTATGCCCTCTATTGACCAAATACTCTATAATACTAGATAACGTTGACACACCTACAGTTTCCTATTGGCCTTATCAACTAATGACGTACAGAGAGTCTGGCCTTTTAAAAGTTAAGACAAAGGGAAGAGAGAGGGTAGTTTGGGCATTCAGATTTGGATATTCAGAGAGATCCAGGACAGATATTCAGGACACTCTGGGTCTAACACTCAACTCTCAAACTCTCTTGGACACAACTCAAGAAACACTCCTTAACACTTTGAATTTTACTCTTACTTTCTAACCAACATCACTTTTCTCTATTACTTACACACCTCCATACAACCAATCATACTCGCATTCAAGTTCCTGGGACTACCTTCTCATCCGATGAGAACATCTACATCATAATTATGCTGGTTTTATTTAATTAATCTAAATTAATTAAAATCTATTAATAGCATGTGTAACGGCTACCCAGGTTGTAAGGGGGTATCAGCCGTTAGAGATGTCCTATTCCTGGCAAGCTGCTGTGTAGTAATGGAGTTTCTTATTCCCATCCACGAGATCCAAGAGTAAAGTCAGGCATAGTTGTAAAATGGAGCAAGGTAATTGTGCAGTAAATCCCCTTCTAAGAACAAGACGAGGCTACGTTTTGAAGGGTCAAGCAGAACTAACTTTTATTGACAGGGATTCTCCTTTTATGCAATTCTGCCCTTGGGAGGGCGACACCTACATAATTAGTACAATACCCAATCACAAACATGGTACATCCCACACGTCTCCTCCCCTCAGATAAACAGTTAACATAATTATTATACACACATTTTTACCCAAGTTTTGGATGTACCCCAAATACTGGGGGTACACCCTTAAATTCAGTATCCCCAGATAGCCCTCATCTAGGGGAACAACATAGTGAAAAATCATCCCATTCGGTGAAAGCTTTCGGGAGTTATGGGACTTTAAAGTTTTGACCGACCGCATAGGCACACTAGCCAAAAATAGTTCCATAAGTTTTGGCCTTGCGGTCGGTCCTCGTTCGTGCGATGAAAAGGCACGAAAATCCTGCCATCCGTATGCATCTTGTTGATCGCTGAAATCCCCGCACGTATTATATCCTTTCTACCGAACGGCCGAGCGTTTGGTAGTTTCAGCACGAAGTTATGAGGTTATGGAGGTCTCAGCGGTGTTCACCTAGGATCTAAACAAAGGATTTGTGCATTACTCACATGAATGGTACATGCCGGTCTGGGAGGTAAAATACCACATAATTGGACAGCAGGGTGGTCCGGTGTTCGGCAGTTTGTATTCGTCTTTTGTGCCTGCTGAGTCTCTACCGCATGGATTGCATAAATAGACGAATACTCGCCACATAAGTCCCGCACTGTGCTATAATAATCCACCGAACCAGGTAAGTATATTCCCCTGTATTATTAGGCATAGTTATTGTCAAATATGTCCAGGCAGAAAGTACAGTTCTGTTACACTGCTCCCCTTTTGTGGAACACTTCGGCAGACCCGGATTGATCCTTTTCGGGTCAACTTGGGGCTGTCCGGTCGGCTGTCAGTGTAGAAGTTCGGTTTGCCTGGACAGTCCATCCGCGTTTCCATTGAACTTGCCAGGGCGGTATTGGATGGAGAAATTGTAAGGTTGTAGGGCTAAGTTCCATCTCAGCAAGCGTCCATTGTCCCCAGCCACTCGGTTCAACCATACCAGGGGATTATGGTCAGTGATCAGGGTGAATTCCTGACCATACAGATACGGTGTAAGTCTCTTTAGAGCCCAGACCAGGGCCAAACACTCCTTCTCCACTGCCGCGTAGCTCACTTCCCTGGGTAATAACTTTCTACTCAGGTACGCGACAGGGTGTTCCCCTCCATCATCCCCGATCTGGCTTAGAACTGCCCCCAGTCCATACATGGACGCATCTGTGTGGAGACAAATCTTTTGTTAGGGACGGGGGCAGACAAAACAGGTGCGTTGATCAAAGCTTGCTTTAATGCTTGGAAGGCTGTTTCACAGGCAGGAGACCACAGGACTATTCTAGGCAAGTTCTTCTTAGTTAAGTCTGTCAGGGGTTTAACGATGGCACTATAGTCAGGGACAAATTTCCTGTAATACCCGGCCGTCCCTAAGAATGCCAATACTTGAGTCTTGGTGTGGGGTGTGGACCCCCTACAGAATCTCTGAGTCAGTAAAGGAGGAGATGAGGAAGGAAATCCAGGAGATGTTGAGGAGATGTTGAGACTAGGGGTCATAGAGCCGTCCGATAGCCCCTGTGCCTCACCAGTTGTCCTGGTACTAAAAAAGGATGGAACTACCAGGTTCTGTGTGGACTATAGGCGCCTCAATGAACGTACAGTGATGGATGCCTACCCCATGGGGTAGGCTGGGGTGTCCCAAGCTAGGGGTCTCTCTACCGTAGTGGGGCTAAGAGTCGGTTCTTTTCTTACCTGGGTCTCCCAGCCTGTGGTAGGATCATCTGCGGTATGGGTCTGTGAATGGGTGGTCACGGGACAAGCAGCAGCAGCTGTGGGTAAATAGGCCAAAGCCAGAGGGCCAATGTCGTTGCCCAACACGACTTCGGCAGGCAGGTTGTCCATGATGCCCACCGTGACTTTTCCCGACCTGACTCCCCAGTCCAGGTGTACCCGGGCCGTGGGTAAGCGAAACACAGCCCCCCTGCGACACGGACAGCAACTGTGCGATTGGATAAATGCTCTGGTTTTACCAAATGCCTTTGCATCAGGGTGATGGTAGCCCCGGTATCTCTTAAGCCTTGTGCTACCTGTCCATTCACGCGTACCTCCTGGTGATGATGCTGGCGGTTATCTGGGGAGGCAGCTTGTGTCGGGTCTGCCTCATATAAGATACCCAGGGACGTGGTGAGGTGACCTCTGCGTTGGGTGCTGTGCGTCTCCAATTATTAGCTGCTGATCCCAAAGGGCAGTAACGAGCAATATGTCCAGTGTTGCTGCAGCGATGGCAAGTTGTCCTAGACAAATCCCGGGGGTAGTTGTTAGACCCCTGACGGCGTGGCGGCCCTGGGGGAACAGGAACCCAGAACTCGGGGGGGGGTTGCTGTTTGGGGTATGAGGTTCTACCTTATGCGCTGGTCGTGGAGTACCCTAGCTCACTTTCCTAGTTTCGGCGTACTCATCCGCCAGCCGAGCCGCCTCGTTTGGGTTAGCGGAGCGACGGTCTCATACCCAGTCCTTTAGATCAGCTGACAAATCTTAGAAGAAATGTTCCAGTAAAAAACAATTGTAACACTTCCTCTCTGGTGTTAGCATTACACCTTCGTACCCAATGTGATGCCACCCTTTGTAACCGATTTGCCCATTCCATGTGGTAATCCACAGCCTTTTTCTTGGACTCCTGGAAGCGGCGGCGGTACGTTTCTGGGGTTACGGCATACCTGGTTAGCAGTGTGTCTTTTACCTGTTGATAGTGTAGAATATCCTCTGGGGTAAGAGCCCGAAAGGCCTCGTTTGCTTTGCCCGATAATTTCGCGGACAAGATAGTGACCCACTGCTCTGGTGGTACTTGATGTAGTGAGCACTGCCTCTCAAAATCAGCCAAATATCCATCAATCTCTTCTTCACTTTCCACAAATGCTTTAAATGCAGTAAAGGGTACTTTCTTTACTGCAGTAGCGGGTGGGGGAGTATGAACTGTTTGTGTGGTGGGCTGTTTAGCTCTTACCAGCTCAATTCCGTGTCCCCTCTTTTCCCGAATTTCCACTCTCACTTCAAGGAACAGACGTTCAATCAGTTCCACTGAAGTCGCTGGGTACATAGATAACCTCCTCTGTACAATACTGGTAACTTCATCCTCCTCGCTGGCAGGAGCAAGTTGCCGTGACCTCCATGGATCTATCCATTTCTTCCAGCTCCAGCAGGTCAGCTATCAGCTCTCTTCGGGGTTTGTTACTGGCACTCCTTCCCCGAGCCTCCACTAGATCTTTCAGTGTGGGTCTCTTCAGTCTGGCGTACTGAGACTCCATTCAGCACTTGCTCTGTGGATGAAAGGACCATCCCACCGCTGCCACCAATGTAACGGCTACCCAGGTTGTAAGGGGGTATCAGCCGTTAGAGATGTCCTTTTCCTGGCAATCTGCTGTGTAGTAATGGAGTTTCTTATTCCCATCCACGAGATCCAAGAGTAAAGTCAGGCATAGTTGTAAATTGAGCAAGGTAATTGTGCAGTAAATCCCCTTCCAAGAACGAGACGAGGCTACGTTTTGAAGGGTCAAGCAGAACTAACTTTTATTGACAGGGATTCTCCTTTTATGCAATTCTGCCCTTGGGAGGGTGACACCTACATAATTAGTACAATACCCAATCACAAACATGGTACATCCCACATGTCTCCTCCCCTCAGATAAACAGTTAACATAATTATTATACACACATTTTTACCCAAGTTTTGGATGTACCCCAAATACTGGGGGTATACCCTTAAATGCAGTATCCCCAGATACCCCTCATCTAGGGGAACAACATAGTGAAAAATCATCCCATTCGGTGAAAGCATTCAGGAGTTATGGGACTTTAAAGTTTTGACCGACCGCATAGGCACACTAGCCGAAAATAGTTCCATAAGTCGGTCCTCGTTCGTGCGATGAAAAGGCTCGAAAATCTTGCCATCCGTATGCATCTTGTTGATCGCTGGAATCCCTGCACGTATTATATCCTTTCTACCGAACGGCCGAGCGTTCGGTAGTTTCAGCACAAAGTTACGAGGTTATGGAGGTCTCAGCGTTGTTCGCCCACTCGAGTGTCCAATTTTAGTTCCAGACACTCAACGGCAAATCACCGCTGTTCGTGTGTTAAGATGGCCGCAAACACGTGCAAAGTCCCGAAATGGCGGCCACCTAGGATCTAAACAAAGGATTCGTTCATTACTCACATGAATGGTATATGACGGTCTTGGAGGTAAAATACCACATAATAGGACAGCAGGGTGGTCCGGTGATCGGCAGTTTGTATTCGTCTTTTGTGCCTGCTGAGTCTCTACCGCATGGATTGCACAAATAGACGAATACTGGTCATATAAGTCCCGAACTGTGCTCTAATAATCCACGAACCAGGTAAGTATATTCTCTTGTATTATTAGGCATAGTTATTGTCAAATATGTCCAGGCACAAAGTACAGTTCTGTTACAGCATGATATATGACTGGATAAATCACAGTCAGATTTCAATAATTGAGAAATCTTAGTTAACTAAAGAATATGTAGTTATAACACTCCATTCTGCAGGTGGAGTCAGATAATTACATAGTACTGGTATCTCACGTGTTAACATACTGCTGTTTTTATCCATGTGGATTGATTTGCTCTGAAATAAGATAAGATATCTTTTTAGGCAAATTAAAATTCTGCTTATAGAATCTGTAGATTTGACTCTTTTGGATGGAAATGATTAATGAGCTGGTTTGAATGTTATTTTAATTGAAAATTACATGAGAATAGGATATTATATGCCTAGGAGGATATAGCCAGCATTGAAAGGGTTACTCAGTTGATCTTATGGCTTTTCGCTGGAAGTTTAGCTTTCTGTGTCTGTGAAATACCCTCATAAATCTTGTAAGTCTTGACAGTTGATGCTGTAGCTTTGTACTGTGTTTAGCCATTGCCATTGTATACGACGTTATACTAAGTATTCACTGATTATTATCATGCATGCTGCCTAATATTATTATTATTTTATTTGTCACAATAAATTATATATATTTTTATAAAAAATTGTGATTTTATTTGTATGGAATACATTTCACTTACATGATAACGATCTCTAAGATCTAAGAGAATTGAAATAGTGGGCAATTCTCAACTGTATAATGTTATCATCCCATAAATATCCCCACAAAGTGTGTGCTAGAATGCCACCTTTGCAAGTCAATTTATGAAATTTCATCCCTGATAGATATTCCATGGTCAACTGTGAGTGGTATTATTGGAAAATGGAAGCGTTTAGAAAGAGCAGCAACTCAGCCACGAAGCGGAAGATCACGTAAAGTCACAGAGCCAGGTCATAGCGAAAATAAAAGCAACAATCCAATCACCATTATCCCTACCGATCACTGAAAATCCTTATTTTCTGAAATGTGGTGTGTGCAGAGTTAAATCAGGTACACACAGATATCAAATTGATACCTGGGGCTCCCATCTATCATCTAGGGCAAGAATTAGTGGCCCTAGACTGACCAATGAGCTTTATGCTGTGCTCAAAGTGAGTGCTGCCTACAGTCCTTTAAATCAATTGAACACTACTGCGTCAGCAGTTTGTTTGAGGGAGACATCCAGGGTGTGAACAGATCCAGACACAGTCTCCTTGCATACCTTCATGCCATTTTGATTGTTGCTCAGTGCCAATATCAGTGTAATGGCAAATTACAGGCCTTTCAGCATGACAGGAGGATCCAGTAGATGGTGGCAACATACTGTTCTCTACTGTTCTGGCTTAGAATACCATTTGCTGATATCAATACTGTAGAAAATGACATATTCTATTTTTCTATTGATTATATATATGGATGTGTGGATTGACATAAGTAACAGATGGTATAAGTCACAAGGCTTTCTTTGTCCGAGAGCTCTGGAATGTGGATTTGGGGCTTTTGTCCTTATATGGCTAGAGTTAAACGCTGACATTAGTATGAGCACATCTATATAGTAACAGAGGAACACGAGGTAACTCTCTCTTGGTTCTGGGCTCTCTCTGGCTCTCTTTCTCGATGTAAAGATGTAAGGATGTAAAGAAGTCCAGCAATTACCATCTGCTGTTGAATGTTCATTATCCTGTAACATCATTTGTTGTTTTATTATGTATCCGTAACTAAGAATAAACCTGAAGCAACCGTAAGTCAGATTGCGTATTAGTACTTTTCAATAATATAGACATATATTATTGTGGCGAGCATTTGGCCCAAGACTATATATACAAAAGACGTATATATATAGCAATCAACTGAAGACAAGAAGAAATTAAGAAGATTTAACAGTGACAATTCCAACCAGATTTTACATTGGCTAGCCAGCCAGCCTTCTATTCAAGTTTTGTTCCCACTTCAAGGGGGGAGAGAGAAGAATCGAGTTACAAAGCTATTTTGGAACTGGGAAAACAAACTTGAAGAGAAAAAAAGAATCTAGATTGTCATAGAAGAACTGTGGTTTGTAAGAAAAAGAAGGTTTTCAAATCACAAAGACTGTATGTAGCGGATAGCCTGTGCCTATTCGCCAGAATTATGTTTTAAAAGACTGTTCGCCTGTTTAACTGAATGTATAGTGAAAATTGCATCTAAGTTCGTATGTTAGTTTGGTAGTTTCCTTCATAGTTATACGAATGGAAACTACCGAATACATATTTGACCGACCGCACACGAACATGTAGCCGAAAGGAGTTCCATGCCTTCTGGCCCTGCGGTCGGTCTTCGTTCGGGAGAAGAACTAGGCATAAATCATTGACATCCATAGCAAATACTGGGTTCGCATGAACCCCCTTGTTCGGTAGATTGAACTCACCGAACGGGGAGCCGAACGGCCCCTCCGTTCGGTAGTTCTTAGAGCTGAAGTGTGTCCCTCGTTAAACCTTTATTCCCTTTGTAACCGCAGCTAATTGAGGTCTTATTGATGTATCTGGGCGGCCGCCATTCGATAGACGAACACGTGGCGGCGGCCATCTTACGCACCAACTCTCAGCGGTGTTTGGTCGTCGAGTGTCTGGAACTCAAATCGGACACTCAATTGCGCAAACACCGCTGAGATCTCCAGAGCTCCAGAACTACCGAACGGAGGGGCCGTTCGGCTCCCCGTTCGGTGAGTTCAATCTACCGAACAAGGGGGTTCATGCGAACCCAGTATTTGCTATGGATGTCAATGATTTATGCCTAGTTCATCTCCCGAATGAAGACCGACCGCAGGGCCAGAAGGCATGGAACTCCTTTCGGCTACATGTTCGTGTGCGGTCGGTCAAATCCTTTAATGCCTGTAACTCCCGAACCCCTGGTCTGATCTGGGTGAATTTTGAGTATGTTGGTCACCCAGACCAGGGCTACCAGGGGATGCCACTTAAGTCCTGGTACCCCCATGGTTTTAGGGTACATCCAGGAAACAGGGGAAAAGGTGCCAGTATTAAGTGGATTAAGTGTCACTCTGAGGGGAGGGAAAGTAGGGGAGGGAACCTCGGTATCATTGGTTACTGTTGTAATTACTGTAAATCCCTCCCTTGCATGGGAAAATCCTTTATAAGGAGCTGCTGTGAATAAATCTTTAGTTCTGCTCCTGATACTGTGTGTCGTCCAGTTATTGGGAGTGCTGTTGGGATACTGCTGTATTGTTTTGCCTGCTGGAGACTTTGCCCTATGGATTTATAATTACTTGTTCCTGAGCCTCACTGGGATCTACAAGTGGAGATAGGCTATAAAATACTAGCTCTCCGCTACACTGTACAAGACTATTTTATACAACTGAGACAAAAAGCACAAGATACAACGTGAATTCTAGAAGCAAGCACGTGGCAGAGATTGGCAATCATCCAGATCCAAGTCCAGAACTGCACAGCTGTGTGGATGAAGCAACAAAATTAGACAGAAATAACTGATCTGGTGAGTAACATGGAATTCATAAATGATATTGCAGAGAAAAGTAAATTGTAGTTTGCATTTAATAGCAGCTATTCAGATGCTGTATTGTGGCAATCTTTATACACACAATGTGAAATTGCCAATAGTAAAATTGACAAGAAATTGTTTGTTAATAAGAAAAAACAAAAGATCAGAAATGTTATTAAACTAGTCTGTACTTACAATGCATTGATTTGTAAACGAGATGCAGGTCAAGACAATTTAGAATTAGCAGATAAAGAAATAGATTTGAATGGGTTAACAGAAGACAAATCAGATTTAAATGAACAGTGTAACAATGTAACAGAGAGAACATTGTCATAAACAGTCTGTGAATTAGAGGATAGAGTTGAACTAAGAAATGATCTTACTTGCCAGCTTACAAATGAAGTTAAGCACGTGTGTGTTAATACAAGAAAAATACAGGCACAGGATTTAATCCCAGAACCAATAGATACTGAAAATGTAACCTCACAGAGTGATTTGCAGAAATGTAAATTTCAAGACAGAGCTGCAAAACTTAATTTGAAAATCCATGAACAATTAATGAAAATTGTGAAATGTATTCCAGTTTATGACACGTCAGTGGATGCATTTACTAATGCTGAAATATTTGAGTAAAATTTGGACAAATACAGCCAAATGACGAACAAAGCAATAGACTATTTAAAATATGGCTGCTGACTCAAATGGCATGTAGACTGACCGCGCCTGTAAATGTGAGGACAATGATGAAATAATATATGGAAATAAGCGAGACAGATTAACACAATTAATAAAATTAACAGGGAATGATTTTGCAGAAATGTTGGAAAAACTAAAACCACACATTGATGAGGATATTTTTAGTTTTCTTGTAAAATTTGAAAATGCATATAGATTTGTTGCTGATTTTTCTGAAGATCGGTTAATTAATGAATTTGTGAAAAAATTTCAAGATCTAGATCCAACCAATAATGAAGGGGTTAAAACGACTTGTGGATTTAGGCAGAGAAAGAAGTGCAGATTTGACACCTGTGACAAGCCCAATCTCGCCACATTGCATTGGAGAAGCCTGGTTGCTCGCCTGTTGCCTTTGGATTATGGCCCCATGTTAAAAGGCTTGATTTTCCCCTGCAAAGACAAGAAAGCTGGGTCATTTGGTGCTTGCCCTGTTTGAGCAGTGATACCCCAGATAGCTATGCCATGGAGCCCATTCATATAATGAAAGACTATGGGAAAGACTTTAGCTCCATGGCAATTGAACTGTATGTGTGTGCTCTGAGCGCCATTCAGAAATAATGTGCGCTTAGACCTAAACTATCTGGGCATATGTTGCATGTCTGTATTTTATGTCATAAATGTAACCTTGTGTATTTTATTGTATTTTACTGTCTTTTTGCTGCCATGTGTTCAATGGAGTTTTGCCTCTGTCTTTGGAGATAATTGGATTACTTCTAATTATCTCCAGGATAGAAGACTCTGTGGAACTGGTTGTGGGCAGAAAAGCCATGCTTCCTGTGGTCACAAAGGACTACGATCTATCTTTTGAACCACTGGGCCAATTTGTATGATTTTGACGTATGTTTGTATTTGGAGTATGCTGATTCTGAAAATGTAAGAGTGTATTGTATGTGTTTATTGGTTTTGTTCCAAAACCCTGTGGGTGGTACTAATGTGTAAGAATGTGTACATAAGCACAATAAACCCACAGCTCTGTTTGTTTACTGCTTGACCCTCAACACGGAGCTTTGTCTCGTTCTTGGGGGGATTTACTGTATGCTGTTCCAGTTTGACTGCTAGGAGTGTAAACCTATTCGTATGGTTTTTCCTATTCGGCTGCTTACAGCATTCATATGGTTTCCTGTTCGGTGGATTGGTGTTCTGCAGTAGCTGTGCCTGCATCTCTGGAAAGGGGGACTATCGCCTAAATGGTTTTTACCCCTTATGTGCAAAACGGTCCGTTACAACACCCCTTGTCCCCCTCCTCCTTCTTTTTCTAGGACAGAGTGTAAAAGAGTGATACAGACAGCTGAGCCCCTCCCAATTTGCTCAACTAGAAACTTCAGAGTTAACAATCAAAGGCAGAATATAACTCCTAAAGTTATTTGTTTTTGGTGCAAGAAACAACATTATTTAAGATCTTGCAGATATTTTATCCGAGATATCAAATCAAAAGCAAATGAGAAATTAAATTTGTTGATTGAAAAATTTGACAGAAAAAATACATGTAGTGATAAATCAATAAAGGCCTTTCGTGTAACACAGAAAGTTATAAGAATCAGATAACTTCAAGAGATATGATCAGTTTAGAGAATGAGCATGGATATGAGTGCCAACAGATGTGCACAAGATGATTCCAGAATTAAGAACAGCACACAAGAATAGAGATCTATGTTAGTTTGTTGTTTTAATGAATTGTTAGTCTGAACTGTTTTTTTCCATTGTTTTTATGTGTGTTATAAGAAAGTATTAGGTTAATTAAAATAAAAATACACATCAAGTTTGCAAATATGGCAGAATGAAATACACTAATGTAGCAGTTAGGAACATGCAATGTATGTTATATTGGGTGTATGCGATTATACAGTAACTCCAATCATTTTACAGAAGGAAAAAACAATAGATTTATTCTTTGTTGCTTCTGAGGTTGATTTAAAATCTTTGATTTAATTCATGAGAATGAGATTTTAATGTCATGACTGATAATGGATTACTATATTTTGCAAAGCCTGGACATACATATGTTTTGATTATATAGAAAACAAAAGTTTTGATAGGATAAAACCTAGATTTACAAATACATTTGATGTAGGAAACAATATATGTTTTTTGTAGTTTGTTTCATGTGACAAAATGGTGCCAGTGTTAAGACAAAATGGCTGCTATTGCTAAAGTATAGTGGAAAACAATATTTTGTTGTAACATCTGATATGTGATTAGGTTATACCTCCAGATTATTAAACAGTTTAAAAGGGGGTATGATTAATAAAAGTTTGGCAAATTTAAATGTTCAGAAAGATTTTAATATAAAGGAAATGTAAAGATTATACATCACATGGCATAAATGTAATGACCACTAGATGGTAGATCTCATGAGAAGAAATGAGTATGTTTTGTGTAGTCAATATAATTCAATGTTAAACTGTATAATAATAATAATGAGATATAAACATTGTAAGCCATTGTATTGATGCTACACATGTTTTTTGTTTTAATGTAGGTAAAGCGTGACAGATCCATGTGGCAATAAATCAGGAAAGCATTCCTTTAGACAACTGGACATCGACTGTTTGAAAGAGACTTTTCATCTGATCTGCAAACTGTGATGGAAGATTCTACAGAGTTCATTTGATACAGAAGATTAACAGACTTACAAAGAAATAACATATTGACACTAACATACATATATATTCCTAAATATTAATGAAGAAAATAGACAATAAAAAGTTATTTAACAGTTATGAGTATTAATACGAAAAGAGACTACTTATAGCTATATAACACATGGAGTACAAGTACGAAAGGATAGTTTTATGAAAATAACTATTATATTATTACCTATACATAGGATGAGAAGTAGAGGTAGAGGTAGAGGTAGATAAAATATGAAGTTGATAAAATAAGGATCATGGTTACTTAATACCACAAAGATTGAGTTCAATAGTATCTCATAGATTAACTATAAGGAATAATTTGTTTATAATTGAGGTGAAGTAAAACAAACAATGGTAACATAAGGAAAAAACTAAGGAAGGATAATTTATATTGATTAATATTAAGTAATTATATACATTAAGAATGCCTTGGATATAAGAGTTCAGAGATCCAAGAGGAATTGAATTGAAGTTTAGTAAAGAGTATAGTACACAATTATATTTGACCTAAGGTATATGTTAGGGAGAATAGGTTTCTGGCTATGACAGTATCCAATGAATTGAATACGTTGTTATAAGTTGTTTGATGATTTCTCTGAGTTTGTAACACACAGACTAAGAATAAGAGTTTCTGGGCAGTATGACCCCAAGTTTATTTAATTTTATTTTATTTTAGTCAGTTGAAGTGTACTAGGAAATACGGACATATAAGGACAATCCTGCTTTTAAGATGTATTACATTAATAAGTCATCACAATGCTAATGAATTTAAATTATTATTTCCAAGTTCTTTTAAAGTAAACCATTCACCGATTGAATGAAAAGTTTGTTACTACAAGGTGGAATTTTAGTCAAAATTATAATTATGTAAACAAAAATAAATCTATGATAGAAAGATTTCTGGGTGGAGAATTTCTAGGACAATAAGTATTGTCAACACCATGAACATTATTTGAAGAATTATTATAGAACTTCATGGTTGATAACACATCCTTTGAATGAGACTTATAAGTAGTGTTGATATATTTTAGTTAGTGAGAGCCTACTGAATATTCAAATTAAATACTATGATTGTAAAGTACTGATACAATCATCACTAGGTGGTATTAATGGTATAGGAATGTAATTCATGAATACAAATAACCTAAAGATTTTAAGTTACTAGAAAACATATGATTCATGGAAATATAATTGGGCAGGATATTATAGTAAAACATGTATTAGTACTTAAGTAATATCAGGTATTGAGAATGAAAATACTATGCTATATGTGTCTGTAGGAATATGATAGTGATACACAGTTATTATTTAGAAAGTTACGATCTTGATTTTGTTATCTACAAAGACATGACTATACCATAGAAGGTAGATATTTTTGATTGCTTTATTGTTTATTGGATCAACATTTGTAAATATTTTATTTTATTCATTTATTATTGTTATATATATGTATATATTATGTTCAAGTAGTTATGATGTAACATGGATATGGATATCAATACATAGCTGAAACAGAGGGAGTTTGAAGTAAAGTAAGCTAAGAACTCTCATATAATAGAAGTTGTGACTACATCTTGTTCTGTGCTCAATGAATGTGATACAAGTGATGTATGAACGGACAGGTAAGTGACATTGTGTTATGGTTTTAAGACAAACCATAAACAGAGGGAATGTAGAATATTGCATATTCTATGTTTCTATTGATTATATATATGGATGTGTGGATTGACATAAGTAACAGATGGTATAAGTCACAAGGCTTTTTTTGTCCGAGACCTCAGGAATGTGGATTTGGGGCTTCTGTCCTTATATGGCTAGAGTTAAATGCTGACATTAGTATGAACACATCTATATAGTAACAGAGGAACACGAGGTCACTCTCTCTTGGCTCTTGGCTCTGGGCTCTCTCTGGCTCTCTCTCGAGATGTAAAGATGTAAGGATGTAAAGAAGTCCAGCAATTACCATCTGCTGTTGAATGTCCATTATCCTGTAACATCATTTGTTGTTTTATTATGTATCCGTAACTAAGAATAAACCCGAAGAAACCATAAATCAGATTGCGTATTAGTACTTTCAATAAGATAGACATATATTATTGTGGCGAGCATTTGGCCCAAGACTATATATACAAAAAAAGTATATATATAGCAATCAACTGAAGACAAGAAGAAATTAAGAAGATTTAACAGTGACGATTCCAACCAGATTTTACAAATACTGAGATTAGCAAAGTGAAAACCTTGGGATGAGATATAGGATTAGGATTAGGTTTTGGTTTATGTTTAGGATTAGAATTAGGATTAGAGTTCGGATTACGATTATGAAAAGCAAAGGAATCCCTCTGCTGAAATTAGCAAAATAATTCCTCTGCCAACATCAGTACATCAGTACACTATTGCCAGAGTTAGGATTATGATTTTGGATTAAGATTAAGGCTCGGGTTAGTTTAGACATAGGATTAAGGTTTGGGTTAAGGTTAGGGTGAGAACCAAGATTACGGTTAGATATAGGATTAGGTTTTAGTTTAGGATTAGGGATTGCAATGTGCATGTAAAAATCCCCCACTAACTTAAAATAATACCATAAACTTTGAAAAAAATCGTTGTTAAAAATGCTTTACAGTAAGGTTCAAAATATACCATATGACATACCCTGTGGTGTCTAGTTTCGCAAATGGTATGCAGTTATGGGGTAAGTAGGATTGTCACAATGCTACAGTGCCCCTAAACACAGAATAGGCACATCACATTCATCAAAATTCTCTTATATGGCACTGTAACTTAACATGATAGTGGCAAAGGCATATATTGGGGTATTGTTTTATTCAGAAGAGTTTGATGAGCACACATTGCGGGGTTTGATCATAGTGGTACATATCAGGTTTAAAAAAAATGCACAGCAGACATGTAATGCGTATGTAAAAGCAAAATGCAAACTCTCACATAAACTGCTTAAGCAAAAAATGTCAGCATGTTAAGGCACAATATACACTACATGAAATATCCCAGAATGTCTGCGTTCACAAATGGTAGGCTTTTGTTTGGGTAATTAGAACCTTCAAACTTCTAAAATTGCCCCATAATGAGACATGAGGCAAATTAATCTATCAATATTCTTAACTGTAAAAACTGAAAATGTCAGTGTGTTTTATAGCACTGTAGACTCACATGATAGTGAAAAAGGCAGACATTGTGAGCATCGCTGTACTCAGAGGATATAGAGGGGCACAAAATGGGATTTTACACATCAGGTTTACAAAATACACATTAATACACCCTATCAGAGTCTTCTTACATGCCTTCATGCTAAACACCTCAAGCTCTTTGCATACATTAAATGCATATAAATAAAATAAAATGAAAAAATAGTTTTTATTAATTTAAATTTGATTCACCCAGGAACACTTGGCATGTCAAGTTAAATGGACTTCAATAATCATTAATATTTAATCAAGGTATTTTAATTATATTTACATGACCAATTAACATAAAGTATTACTGTGCCATTCAGCACTCTATTTAATAAACACATTTTAATATATGCATTTAATTTACTGAGATTTAAAATGCTGTGGAACTGTCGAAAACTGGGATTTTTAATTTTGGCTCATAACAGCTGAAATAAAAAAGAATACAGAGCAAAAAAATAGTTAATTTGAAGAATCTTTCAGCTGTTTTGGACTATAATATGAAATTCTCCGTTCAATTCCCAGTAATCCCTGATCTAGTGAAGAGCCCTGATTCATTTGAGAAAACATTTCTTGTAAATTCCCATGAAGATAATTATTCGATAGTCTTCTGGAAGCATTTCTGGTACAGCTTGGAGACCTCCCGGGGATCCACATGTTCTGCTGTAGATATATAACAGGCAGACTGTTACTGATTTAGACATATCTCCTGGTCAGTCTGTCTGGTGAGAATGTCATTTAACAACTTAAATGACCTAGAAAACACAGGTTAATATATAGAGGTTTTAAGGAACCTTCACTAATGGGAGAACATATTGACGGGCGACAGCATCAAAGACATGGTAATATCTTTTAAATTGATTTCATGATTAATGAATCATAGTATGTGGTGGAACCAGCCTCGCCACTGGGCATTGGAGAAGACTGATTGCCAGCCTCCTGCCCTGTGACTATGGCCCCATGTTGAAATGCTTGATTTTCCCCTGCAAAGACCCGAAAGCTGGGTCATTCAGTACTTTCCCTATTTGAACAGTGATACCCCAGATATCTATGCCATGGAGCCCATTCGTATAACGAAAGACTATGTGAAAGACTTTGGCTCCATGGCAATTGAACTGTATGTATGTGATCTGAGCGCCATTCGGTAGTAATGTGCGCTCAGATCTAAGCTATCTGGGGATATGTTGAATGTACCTGTTTTATGCAGTAGCTGCACAGTTATTTATTTTTATGTATTTTATTGTCGTCTTTTGCTACCATGTGTTCAATGGAGTTTTGCCTCTGTCCTTGGAGATAATTTGATTACTTCCCAATTATCTCCAGGATAGAGTACTCGGTGGAACTGGTTTGGGCTGGAAAAACCATGCTTCAGTGGTCACAAAGGACTTTTGACCTAACTTTTGAACCACTGGATCAATTTGAATGATTATTGAGTGTATTTATATTTGAAGGACGCTGATTTCAAATATGTAACTTTTATTAATATTGCATGCATACTTTTAAAGTTAGAAGAATTGTGTAAAAACTGTATATTTTCTGCCTATGCTAATCAAGTTAGTCTATTGTCTTGAGATAATTGTATCACAGGCAGAGGGGAGGATTTCTGCTGGGAATGGTTTACTTTATTGTATGTGTTGTAATGTTTTTATTGGTTGTTCTGAAAAACCCTGTGGGCGGTCCTGTATGTGTAAGACCTCCATAAAAGAAGGCCCTTTGGTGCCAAGTAAATCAGTTCTACTTCACCCTCAATTTGGAGTGCCATCTCTTATTGGGGGAATCTGCTACAAGGAATTGCTATGCTCTGCATACTCTCTTGCTATGCATTTGTTTCACGTTCCACTTTTTGGAGGTTTGGTTGTTGTCTAATCTGTAGACAGTTCTCTATCTTGCGGCAGGAGATTGTATTTTTGAAGTTTGAGATTTGTAAATTATCTGGTGAAGAAACTCAGACTGGAACTGCTGCAAAGCCACTGCCGCAGAGACATGCTAGGAAAGGCAGATGGATTACTGTAGGATCTGGTAGACTTAGGGTTGTGGATAAAAGGCATCTTGCACAGTCTGTTGCTCTTCATAATTCATTTTCTGCACTTTCAGAGTGTAATGGTGTTGTAGAGAGAGGCACTAAGGCTAGTGGTGTTGTAGAGAGAGGCACTGAGACTAGTGGTGTTGTGGAGACCGGCTTGGAGACTATGGTGAGGCCTAATAGAAAGCAGTTGTTGTTGGGGGATTCCATTATAAGAGGTGTGGAGATGGACAATGGTGGTCTTGTGAGGTGTCTTCCCGGAGCTACTGCTCACAGAGACAGGAGACGTATCTGTAATATTGTTAAGCAAGCAAAGCAGGAAGGGGAATTGGATGTACTTGTCCATCTAGGGACAAATGACTTGGCTTGCAATGAGGTTTCAGAGGTTAAGGAAGTTTTTAGTGTTTTTGCCAATGATAAACGGCAGGTTGCTTCCACACTGTCATTCTCTGAAGTTCTGCCTGTGCATAACACTCAGAACGACAGGCGGATGCGTATTAGGGACTTTAATTTGTGGCTTGGTGAATGGTGTCGGGAGCAAGGATTTGGCTTTATTTCTCATGGTAGCTCTGTTTGGAATGGAGATAAGCTGTACAAAAAAGATGGTTTGCATCTTTCTCAAAAGGGAACAAATGTTCTCAGTGAGCAGTTCAGAGGTTTTGCTAGGATGTATTTAAACTAGGAGGGGGGGGCAAAAGGGTGATAAAACATCAATCCAATTGTCCCCCAAAACAAGGACAGAAGGTGCCTGTAGCAAGTGTGTTAAAAATGATAAGCTTAGAGTCATGTCTACAAATGCTCGCAGTTTAGGGAATAAGATCCATGAACTTGTGGCAATAATGGCAACTGATAGTGTAGATTTAGTCGCTGTTACTGAGACATGGTACAATGAGAAAAATGACTGGGACATAGCAATACCAGGGTACTCTTTATATAGGAAAGATAGGGAAGGCAAGAAAGGGGAGGGGTGGCCTTGTATGTGAAGGATAGCATAAAATCTAGCCTAATAAAAGTTAGTGAGGCAAACATAGAGTCCGTTTGGGCTACGTTAGAATTTGGTAATCACACAGTAACTCGTGTAGGTGTGATTTATAGGCCCCAGGACAAATTGAAGAGTTAGATAATCTACTAGTTGAGGAAATAGCTAAAATGACAATGAAGGGGAAGTTATCATCATGGGTGACTTTAATCTTCCTGATGTAAATTGGAAAACAAAATTAGCTACTTGTGCCAGGAGCACACATATTCTAAACTCCCTACTGGGATTGTCTCTAAAACAAGTTGTTGAGGAGCCAACTCGTAAAGAGGCCATACTAGATTTAGTGTTAACAAATGGAGATTTGGTATCAGATGTTACTCTAGGTGAAAGTTTAGGATCCAGTGATCATCAGTCAGTGTGGTTTAATATAAGAACAGTGACTGAGTCACACCACACAAAAACAAAGGTTTTAGACCTTAGAAAAACAGAGTTTTCTAAAATTAGAATATGGGTAGAGGAGTCATTATCAGACTGGAGCAATTTAAATGGAGTCCAAGAAAAATGGGATTATTTAAAAGTTGCACTATTGAAGGCAACAGAAAATTGCATTAGGCTTGTCAGTAAAAGCAAAATTCAAGAAACCACTGTGGTACTCCGCAGATGTGGCCAAAATAGTTAAAAACAAAAAGTTAGCATTTAGGAATTATAAAAAAACCCAGAGTGAGGGAGACAAAATGATCTATAAGATTAGGCAGAAAGAGGCTAAGCAAGTTATAAGAGCTTCCAAATCACACACAGAAGAGAAAATAGCACAGTCAGTAAAAAAGGGGGATAAAACATTTTTAGATACATAAATGAGAAAAGAAAAGTAAAACAAGGATTAGTTAGATTAAAAACAAAAGAAGGAAGGTATGTAGAAGAGGATAAAGGTCTAGCTGACTGCCTCAATTAATATTTTTGTTCTGTATTTACAGATGAAAATGAAGGAAAGGGACCTCAGTTGAGAAAAAGGATAAATGAGTCATTTATTACACGTGAGTTTACAGAGGAAGAGGTTCTATTTCAACTGTCAAAAGTAAGACAAATAAGTCAATGGGACCTGATGGAATACACCCAAAGCTATTAAAAGAGCTTAGTGGTGTACTAGCAAAACCATTAACAGATTTATTTAACCAATCATTGTTAACAGGAGTAGTCCCAGAAGATTGGAAGTTAGCGAATGTTGTGCCCATTTACAAGAAAGGTAATAAGGAGGAGTCGGGCAACTATAGGCCAGTAAGCCTTACTTCAGTAGTGGGGAAAGTGATGGAAACCATGTTAAAGGATAGGATTGATGAACATCTAAAAACACATGGATTTCAAGATCAGAGACAACATGGGTTTACTTCAGGGAGATCATGCCAAACTAATCTTATTGATTTTTTTGATTGGGTAACTAAAATTATAGATCAGGGTGGTGCAGTTGACATTGCTTACCTAGATTTCAGTAAGGCTTTTGACACTGTTGCACATAGAAGGCTTATCAATAAACTGCAATCTTTAAGTTTGGATTCAAATATTGTTGAATGGGTAAGGCAGTGGCTGAGTGACAGGCAACAGAGGGTTGTAGTTAATGGAATATATTCGAAGCTTGGACTTGTCACCAGTGGGGTACCTCAGGGATCTGTACTTGGACCCATTCTCTTTAATATTTTTATTAGTGATATTGCAGAAGGTCTTGATGGTAAGGTATGTCTTTTTGCTGATGATACTAAGATATGTAACAGGGTTGATGTTCCAGGAGGGATAAGCCAAATGACAAATGATTTAGGTAAACTAGAAAAATGGTCAGAATTGTGGCAACTAACATTTAATGTGGATAAGTGCAAGATAATGCATCTTGGACGTAAAAACCCAAGGGCAGAGTACAGAATATTTGATAGAGTCCTAACCTCAACATATGAGGAAAGGGATTTAGGGGTGATTATTTCTGATGACTTAAAGGTAGGCAGACAATGTAATAGAGCAGCAGGAAATGCTAGCAGAATGCTTGGTTGTATAGGAGAGGTATTAGCAGTAGAAAGAGGGAAGTGCTCATGCCATTGTACAGAACACTGGTGAGACCTCACTTGGAGTATTGTACACAGTACTGGAGACCGTATCTTCAGAAGGATATTGATACCTTAGAGAGGGTTCAGAGAAGGGCTACTAAACTGGTCCATGGATTGCGGGATAAAACTTACCAGGAAAGGTTAAAGGATCTTAACATGTATAGCTTGGAGGAAAGACGAGACAGGGGGGATATGATAGAAACATTTAAATATATAAAGGGAATCAACACAGTAGAGGAGGAGACTATATTTAAAAGAAGAAAAACTACCACAACAAGAGGACATAGTCTTAAATTAGAGGGACAAAGGTTTAAAAATAATATCAGGAAGTATTACTTTACTGAGAGGGTAGTGGATGCATGGAATAGCCTTCCAGCTGAAGTGGTAGAGGTTAACACAGTAAAGGAGTTTAAGCATGCGTGGGATAGGCATAAGGCTATCCTAACTATAAGATAAGGTCAGGGACTAATGAAAGTATTTAGAAAATTGGGCAGACTAGATGGGCCGAATGGTTCTTATCTGCCGTCACATTCTATGTTTCTATGTTTCTATATTCACTGCTAAGCTCTTGTAAGAGCTTGTTCCTGTTTTGCTCTCTGAAGGAGTCTACGGTGGTTATGGTGTCTGCTGGAGTGCTGGAAACTCTCAGGAAGCGCTATGAGCATCCTTCAACGGAGGTACCCAGGCGGGGTGCCAGGTGATCTGTTACATAGTACACATGCATTTATAATAAAGTATCAGCTTATACAAAGCAATATATTCATTGCATTAAGTCATATGGGTGGAAGGCGAAACTATGAGAGCACCAGGATAGCATTAACAAGTCTAGTTAGAAAGGAGATGCTTTCATCTGTGTCTTTCTTATCCGATAGTGGACAAAAAAACATAGATTTATTGTAACAAATATTTCTACATATATTGTAGATTTCCTAAAATGTTCTATGTTTTCTGAAATGTGCATATTGTGAAAAATTAATCAATAGAAAGATGAGGATAACTATAATATTGGCCCACGATTTGGATAACAAGAAAAGTGAAAATAGAAGATAATTAGGAATTAGTAAAATGAAGAGCAGATTAATTACGGTAGGTTTTCGTAGTCCAGAAAAGCCTTCATTTGAGCTTAATGGCAGAATGCTGAGAATATCTGGTGACATTAAAAGGACAGTCTAAACACCATAACCACTGTGGCTCACTGTATTAGTAGAACTTATTGCATTTGTACAAATTAGTGCAGCATTAGTGAAGCTCAGTATATTTATTATAGATAATTTACTGGGCCCTTTTTTTGTTTGCTTTTTATATTTTTCAATTGAGTCAAAAGCGGTTTGACAAAATCTCTTTCCACCACTTTTACTTTAATGAGCTTTGATGATAAATAGCTAGTATTTTTTATGCTTATAATGTCTCTTTAACTGGGCATTTTAAGAGATAAAATTAATGCAATTTATTTTTCTTTCTTCTAATTTTTTTTAATTTTTATAGCATGTCTGAAATGTCTGAGATCAGAGTGTTCTAGATAGCATGTTCTCTAAATCCACTTAGTTAGCCTACTCGCCTGTTGTTTAATGTTTATCTATACAAACCGTCCTGCAGGAAATACATGCTGTTAAGATATGATCTGATTTTCGAAAGCATCGTAATATGATCACATTTTGAATTGTACAACAAAAATAGGTAATATTTAGCAGTTACAGTTAGAGTTTGATTTTGGAGAGTTCATGTTTTACGGAAGGTTGTTCCACATTTGCTGAGTTCTATATTAGAAGGTTGCCTGATTGTAACGGGAAATGTAAAGCAAAATTCTAGAACTGAACCAGATGTTAAAATTCCTTTAACCTCCTCGGCTGTGACTGTGTGTCTTCACAGGAAGCATATCTAAGCATTCAAATTCACTCTATATATTTAAATATAAACACGGTAAATGTCACTAAAGATATTTCTTTTCATATAATAATACATCCTGTCTGGTCATAGACACTTTCTAGATTGTGTGCGATATTAGAGATTGTCTCAGAATATCCTGGATATTACTACTGAATCTTATTTAGAAAAATGAGCCCTGGTAACACTTAGAGCTGACATGTTAAATTAATTACGTAATGACCGGGGTGAACAATAGCAGGAAACTAAATCTATCATATGTTTTAGAAATTATCATGGGCTGTGAACAGGATTTATTTGACATCCTGCTGTCCCTGATTTGACTCTTTTCAGTATTACCTATTAATCTCATTATGTCTACACTGATCAGCCACAACATTAAAATCACCTCCAAAACAGCTCTCATGTGCAAATGTATGGACTCCACAAGATCTCTGAATGTGTCCTGTGGTATCTGGCACCAAGACATTAGCAGCAAATTCTGTAAATCTTGCAAGTTGCGAGATAGCACGTCCATGCATCTGATTTTTTGTTCCAGCACATCCCACAGACGCTCAATTGGATTTAGATCTGGGATCTTGAAGGCCAAGGTAACACCTTGAACTCTTTGTTGCTCATTCCATTCCTGGACAATTTTTGCATTGTGGCAGGGTGCATTCTCCCGCTCAAAGAAATCCCATAATCCAACCATCCACCTGGTCTAAATGAACATGTAATTCATCAAAACAGGTAACCCTCTTCCATTGCCCTACGGTCCCCATTAACCCCTTAAGGACCAAAATTCTGGAATAAAAGGGAATCCTGACATGTCACGCAGGTCATGTGTCATTAAGGGGTTAAAGGAATTTTCTGTGGTGGGCAAGGGTTATCATTGAGACTTTGAACAGTCTGCAGCTATGGGGCCCCATACACAGCAAACTACAATGCACTGTGTGTTCTGATGCATTTATATCATGGCCAGCATTAAGTTTTTCATCAATTTGAGCTGCAGTAGCCCTTCTGTGTAATCAGACCAGACGGGCATCAATGAGCCTTGGGTTGCCAGTTCACTGGTTGTCCTTCCTCAAACTACTTTTGGTAGATACTAACCATTGCATAAAGGAAACACCCCACAAGATCTCTCTTGGAGATGCTCTGACCCAGTAGTCTAGTCTATTTGGCCCTTCTCACTCATATTTGTTCATTTGCCCATTTTTCCTGCTTCCAACACATGAAATTAAAGAACTTACCGTGTCATTGTTACCTATTATATTGAACCAATTAACAGGTGCCAAATGTAATGATAAAATCAATGTTATTTACTTCACCTGTCATTGGTTTTAATGTTGTGGCTGATCAGTCTTTATCCTTTAAGTGCACACAGGATTTTATTATGTTATTTGAAGGTAACCTCTATGCTGACAAATGCATATTTTAATACATAAATTTATTAATTGTAAAAAAACTGTGTATTTATTAAAATTTGCTTAAATATTTCCTAGTTCCTAACCTATACCTTTCAGTAGCAGAGAACTGACCCAGCTGCTAATGAAGATTCACCCCTTCTTGCCCACTTACTTCCTGGTTTGTGCTGGACAGTGTCCAATCAAATTCTACAAGTAGAGAAACCTGAGGACAAATCTCCCCTCCAAAGCGTATCATAGAGATGGGTAATTTTACTGAGATATTTATTAAACACACCACACTTTAAGGCTCTATTAGTTCAGATGCTGTTTTAAGCATTTATATTTTGTTTTCATTAAAATAATGACTTGCTATTGTGAACTAAAATTCCTTTCAGGCTCAGCCAACCACTGGATACCATTGAATTATATTCTGAATAAGTTTTTTAGCAGATGATTGTCTCACTATCCCATTATATGAGATTTTATATTAACCTGCCGCAGCTTCACCGAAACATAGAAACATAGAATGTGACGGCAGATAAGAACCATTCGGCCCATCTAGTCTGCCCAATAATAATAAATGATATGCAACTTTTTGCTCTCTATTTAATGAGACATACATTTCCAGCAGAGTTGCTTTTATGTTTTTACCCACCCAGGAAGGGCAGGGGTAAAAAAACAGAACCAATTTATGTTTTTTTCTTTATACGAGAGTTAGAGAGACATTGTGTCTGTATCTGGCCCAGTCCTGGCAGCCTGGCAGTGTCTTGGGTTAGCATGCAGTGTACAGAGACAAGGTACGAATGTTGTGCAGAACTGACATTACCATCCAGGAACAGAGTAATCCAGTTGACTGATTGACAGCACAGAGAGGTGGCACTACACACAGAAAACATGTAGCCTTTCTTTTTTTGACAAAGAAAGGTTACAGGAAGAGGGTCTATATGACGTGCTATGCTATGTGTGATGGTACTAAGAGTTTAAATTTAATAATTTTCTTGAAGTCAAAAACGTACCTAATTTAAAAGCAAGCAAAATAAATGTATTTGGGTTGTAATTTTATGATATTTTCAAAGAAGATGGTAGTAGTAGGATCACTTGGTTTTCTATGTGAGTTAGATGATTAATAGTGTGATCATTATGTTATTCTGAAGGATTCTCTCAGTGATTAAAGATCTTTTGTTATGAGTACTGTAATTAATAGAGCATTATCCTCATCTGATGCATAGAATTTGTCTGTCTGTGTGAGTGCTACCTGCATTTCACTGATTTTTTTGTTTATATGAATGTAGGAGAATTTCATGAACAATTCAAATATGGAGGAGTTCTTGATGATCGGATTTGAGAACATCCAAAATGTCAACATTTTACTCTTTATTCTTTTCCTGATAATTTATCTTGTGACATTATCTGCAAATATAATGGTTATCTTGATGGTATCCATGTGTAGATATATTGTCTCTCCCATGTACTTCTTCCTCCGCCATCTGTCTTTTAATGACATGATCATCATCACAAACATTGTACCCAAAATGCTTTGTATCATATTAAAAGTAGGAACTACCATATCCTTTGCTGGCTGCTTCACTCAAATTTACTTCTTCATCCAAACAGCTGTTACTGAGTGCCTGCTTCTCACTGTAATGTCCTACGATCGATATTTGGCCATCTGTAACCCACTGAGATATTCCTCTGTCATGGACTTAAAACTCTGTGGTTCTCTTGTTGCTTCATCTTGGGGATTTGGAATACTAGTTGCATTACCACATATTATTATTTTAAGCCAAATTACATTTTGTGGGTTAAGAGTTAATCATTTTTTCTGTGATTTGATACCAGTTCTCAGAGTTTCTTGTTCTGGTTCATTAGCTAATGAAATAGTAATCATTGTTTTGTCTGTTCCAGTTACATTTGTCCCAATACTTTTTATCACTGTGACATATATCAATATCTTTCTTGTGATTATCCGGATCTCCACCACCACCGGGAAACAGAAAGCCTTCTCCACCTGCAGCTCCCACCTGACCGTCGTATGTCTATATTACGGGACACTGGTATTTAATTATCTGTTTCCATCTAAAGAAGAATACTTGGGTTTACAAAAACTGACTTCTGTGCTTTACACCATTATGATCCCTTTATTAAACCCAATTATATACAGTCTGAGAAATGAGCAGTTTAAAGGAGCAATAGTTCAATTTATTTTGAAGAGAAAAGGTGAAAAATTAAGATTAAACTAGATTTACTTCAAATATTTACTTTAATTAACATAATAATGCTAATTAATAAATTTCTCCGAGTGGCCAACTTCTTGAGTTGCTGCTTAAAATAATTCACAGAGCCTGTCTAACTGCAGCTCTACAATTTAGAATTGGGTTTTCCAATTCTAATAAATGTCCTAATTAAAATACTCATGATCTAAATCTAATCTCTTATATTGAAAACTAGCCTGTGATGTTTTTGGATTACTTTTTTTTCTGGATTCCAGTCACTCAGCAGCAATTAGGAAACAAATGTTGGAGTAGCAGTGACCGTCCGTGCAGGTACTGTTACTGAAGACACTATGTTCTCATTGTCTTACCGGCTGGTCCCCTCCCTCTGCCAAATCAGGACCACTTGCTATATATTTTTTTTAATATATGTATTTTAATGTTAAAAAGCATAGAAACCATAGAAATAGTTTTAATATTGTGTACAAAACACTCTTTACACTAATAAAATATACTAATTACATAAGTGTGTTAATAATTCCCATTTCCATATAATATCTATGATGGACCGCCTGGCACTCCGCCTGGCACTCCGTCGTTGCTTCCTAGTAGTCTTGAGTACTATATAGCTGTTCTCTACAATCAGACGAGGCTCTGTGTTGAGGGGCCGCATGACGCCAATAAAGAAGAGGGGGTGTGTGCTTACTGTTCGCGCCAGAAAAACTAAGCCCGAACAGGCCACACCCCCACATCTACGTGACGGCAATTGGTTGGGTGGGGGGGGGTGTATGATTGCTTTCCGCTCAGAGAACTGAGTCCAAACAAGCCCCACCCCCTGGTGTTACGTGGCAGCAATTGATTGAATAGCAACATGGACTTATAAATAAATAAACAAGTCCATGTGTCACCTCATCGGAGGAGCAGATATTCAAAAAAAGGGAAAAATGTGTGTTTAGAAAGTTAATGTATTGGGTGTATTGCGTTATATAACATAAGGCATAAATACATGAGTGGTGAACACTCCATCATGTAGTATATCAAGAGGTCACCTATCTATTATGCCAGATTGTAGAGTATATAGTGTAACATTTGTCTATATGTCCCTGTATGAACAAAGAAGCTCTGGTAAAAATATGGGCACAAGGATCCATAAAGATAAGTACATCCAACCTAGATTATCTGAGACTCAATTATGAAAGTGGCCATATGTTTATACTTATTTGATGAATATAATATATATCTATATGCCACTTTTCTGGTTCGTGACATATAGCCTTCAAGCTGATGACCTAGATCATATGGCCTCTCAAGGTGAAAATAGTAAAACCTATTATGGATAACTGGTGGTAAGTTTGATATATGCAATTTGTTAGAATTATCACTCAAAGTTGGCACCATGTGTTGATCACCTGGTTTACGTATATAGACTAGGGGATGGACGATACCCATAATGATGACCCTGGGGGAGCCTGGTAAGCCCCCACAGAGCTAGATGGGAGAAACAAAACTTTCACACATCAATATGTTAACCACGTAACGCATGTACGCACAAATAATAATGAACCAATTGACTAATTCTAGTTCACAGCCTCTTATGTATCAGAAAGATAAATAATAAATAGTAAGTGAATGAAAAAATATATACATGCAATCTCTATACATATAACTAAACAAAGTACAGTTACTCCTGGGTACTCTTATTTATCAATAAAAGGAGTGAATGTGAAACCCTCGTTTAATCCATAGGGGGCCAGAGTTTTAAACCTGTAAATCCAATAACATTCCCCTTTGAGGAGGGTAAGGTCAAGGTCACATCCTCTACGTCCCAAGAGAGTCTTCTCGATCCCTGCAAACCTCAAACCGCTTGGATCACCTTGGTGGCAGTTCTTCAAATGTTTTTACAATTAAGAGAAATTGAATAAGTAGAGGCCAGGAATGGTGGTTACAGATCCACCTATGTAGGGCTTAACCCAGAATAGGAAATAAAGAATTCAAAATATATTAGGAGTATCTAAAACAAGAGACTCCAAACTGATTTTAGATAAAGCAGTATATAGAGAAATATTCTATAATAAATAAATTCCCAAATTAACACTGAGTATCATTACGTAACGTAAGCCTCTAGCCCTGATGATAATTGAGAATGCTGCAAAAAATTAAAAATGCACAAATGCTTTATTGAATTACAAAAAAACAAAGCAGCAAAATCCCTAAATATAGGCAGGAGGGTCTTGCTGATTAAATCTACAAATAGATTAAGAGGGGGATATAGTAGCCATAAAAATCAAATGGACTGCAGGTGGATATTCAAGGAAGGGGGTCCACCAGGAATAAATATAGACTAAAGTGGTAACAATAATAATAGGAAATAGATAAAGGACCCTATTAGGACTGTGTAATATCCCTGCAGATGGTAGTCAACAGAATCCAATAGGTAGAGGCTAGAAAATACTGCCTAATACAAAGGCTAAACTGCAACTGCTAGTTAGGCAAATAGCTCAGTAGCTAAGTCTGATCTAAAATGATTTAAACTCATCTGAAAAGACTAGAGTGTTACACAGACGATTGTACATGAGCTTGGTCTGATGCTACGAAAATCTAATAGGACATCTAGAAGTAAATAAAAAAGAAAGAAAGAAAGGAGAGGAGAAAAGATAAATTTCTATAATGTCCCTATTGCTCCTAAAAATAAACGCCTTCGAGGGCGTTCTAATCTGTCCCTGGCTAGTAGAGCAGATAGCCGATAGAGTATAGCTGTAAGT